AAACCCTATGTAAACCCTGTGCCCGTTCAAGCTTGTGGCAGGTCAGCTGTCTGCTGCCACGCTCCTGGATTCCTCCCTCCGAGTAAATTTCTGCTCCTGGATTCTTCCCTCCCGGTAAATCTCTGCCTGAACCACAGCAGAGTAGAACCGAGTGAGCAAAGCAGTGCTGTAACCCTTTTGCCTGGGAAACCTTCCCCTATGGAGGTAGAGTAGTTACACTCTGGGGGAGTCGAAATGTAACAACTTCCATCATGAAATGTAACAACTTCCATCATGAAATGTAACAACTTCCATCACCTGCCCGAGTGGAGCTGTTACACTGCTAGGGAAGCCTTTCCCCGGAGCAGGGCTGTAAACTGCTACACTTACTGTCTGACCTGTGGAATTCCTTGGCTCCCGATTGTCAGAGTATCTTTACATCCCAGCTGTAACACAGTATTCTTTGGCTCCCCAGAGCCAGAATCCCTGTCCATCTCATCTGAGCCCCTGCAATGCGTACAGACTCCCCTGGACCCAGAGTTTATACAGTGGTTGTGAAGTTGTGTTAGACTTTGTCGATGCTGGAAACCAATCTTGGGTTCCCTGAAAAATCAGTAAGTGTTCTTAACCACTGAGTCATCCCTCTGGCCCCATTTTAGGAGGGTTTCGGTTTCTTTGCTTTAAAATTGATTTGAAAAGGGGCTCTTGAAGAGATGGTTCAGCTGTTGAGAGCTGGCAGTGTACCTTCACAAGGCCAGGGTTGGGTTCCCGACACCCATATCAGGTGGCAGGTCACAAGTGGCTCTAACTCCAGTTCCAAAGGATCAGAAGCCTCTGGCTCTGCAGGCACACACTTAGAAAATAAAAATCTTGGTGCTGGAGAGATCACTCAGTTAAGAGCACTGTCTGCCCCTCTAGAGGACCCAGGTTCAATTCCCAGCACCCACATGACAGCTCTCAACTGCCTTCGAATTAAGTTTCAGGGGATCCTGAATCTTCACACAGACATGCGTGCAGGGAAAACATCAGTCAATACTGATAAAAATAAACCAAACATTGCTGGGCGTTGGTGGCGCACACCTTTAATCCCAGCACTGGGAGACAGAGGCAGGAGGATCTCTGTGAGTTCGAGGTCAGCCTGGTCTGCAGAGCAAGTGAGTTCCAGGACAGCCTCCAAAGCAATACAGAGAAACCCTGTCTCGGAAAAAAAAAAAAAAAGTATCCGCAAGAAAGGACAAAATAAGAAAATCAATGCATTGTAAATACTGCATGTATGAGCAGGAGGACTCAAGGTTGCCAATGCTGTTTATATTAGTGTCTCACAATTAGTTCATCGATTTAATAGAATCCCAATAATAAACCCAGTGGAACTTTTTTATTAATGCTACTTGACAAGATGACTTTTAAGTTTATATGGAAGTAAATGTTACGAAGAGCGAAGTCAGTTTTGCGAGGAAAGAACAGAGATCAAAACAGTGAGCTTTGAATAACAATTAGAACATACAACACAGCAGCTGAAACCTGGGCATGGAATCCGCTCATCTGTTTTCTTCCACCTCTGTTTTCTGAGACAGGGTCTCAGGTAGCCCAGGCTGGCCGCAGACTCACTATGTAGTCAAGGAGGACCATGAAGTTCTGATCCTCCTGCCTCCATGTCCCAAGTGCTGGGATGACAGGTGTGCACCTCCGTGCTCAGTTTCGCCGTAGCATTTCACTTACTGGGGTTGTGCTTGTGGTGGACAACAGACTATTTTGGGGTGATGAACTGTCCATTTGGCCTCATGTGGTGGCACATACCTTTTAATCTCCGCACTTGGGAGGCGGAGATGCAATCACTCTGAGTTCCAGGCCAACCTGGTCCACACAGTGAGTTAGTTCTGTGCAAGCCAGGGCTATACAGTCAGGTCTTGTTTCAAAATCAGAAAGTGTGTTAACAGTTTTTAATTGTTGGGTGATGGGGTGCCTCGGAGTGTAAAGGGACTGGTCTTGAGTGTGAAATTCTTGAGTCCACCCTTGGAACCTACCTGGTGGAGGGAGGGAAGCATCTCCCCAAAATGGCATTCTCTAACTTCCACACCTACGCCGTGGCGTGCGCGCCCCTCCCCCCTACACAAATGCATTAGTGATATGTATTTTATTAGTTTTTAAATTGAGGCTGGGCTTGGTAGTGCTTGCCTGTACTCCTGGCACCCTGGAGGTGAAGGCAGAAGAACCAGGAATTTGAGCAACGTAGCAAATTCAAGGCCAGTCTGGGCAACATGAGACTCTTGACTCAAAAAAAAAAAAAACCACAAACGCTTAGTTTTATTGGGCTATGGAGAGAACTCAGAGCCTTGCACATGCTAGGGGAGCACTCCACCACTGAGCTACACTTCCTGCAACTGTAAATCTGACTGAACTCGCCTACTGTGATCGGCTCCACAAACGGGAACGAAATTGATGGGCAAGCACTGCCGCCTAGTGGCCGTGACACGCATTGCAACTGTGCTCTTGCTTTCTTCAGCGGCCCCCTCCATCCCCCACCCCCATCCCGCCAAACTGGGTTTCTCTGTTTAGCCCTGACTGTTCTGAACTCTCTCTGTAGACCAGGCTGGCCTCAAACTCAGAGAGATCCGCCTGTCTCTCCCTCCAAGTGCTGGGATCAAAGGTGTGTCACCACCACCGAGCTAATTTTTAAAGATTGTTTTAAAATTATCTCTTTGTATTTTATGTACAGATGTTTTGCTTGCATATATGTCTGCGTGAGGGTGTTGAGTTCCCTGGAACAGAAGTTGCAGTTGTGAGCTGCCATGTGGGTGCTAGGGGTTGAACCCAGATCCTTTGGAAGAGCAGCCAGTGCTCTTTTTTTTTCTTTTTTAAGATTTATTTATTTATTACATGTGCAGTGTTCTGCCTACATGCCAGAAGAGGGCACCAGATTGAATTGCAGATGGTTGTGAGCCACCATGTGGTTTCTGGGAATTGAACTTAGGACCTCTGAAAGAGCAGTCAGTGCTCTTAACCTCTGAGCCATCTCTCCAGCCCCTTTTAAAGATTTTTTTTTTCGAGACAGGGTTTCTCTCTATTGGTTTGGAGGCTGTCCTGGAACTCGATCTGTAGACCAGGTTGGTCTCAAACACACAGAGATCAGCCTGCCTGTGCCTCCTGAGTGCAGGGATTAAAGGCGTGCACCACCAATGCCTGGCCAAGATTTTTTTTTTTTTTGGTTTTTTTCGAGACAGGGTTTCTCTGTGGCTTTGGAGGCTGTCCTGGAACTTGCTTGGTAGTCCGGGCTGGTCTCGAACTCACAGAGATCTGCCTCCTAAGTGCTGGGATTAAAGGCGTGCACCACCAATGCTCTATATGCAGAGTTTTTATTTAAAAAAAGTGTAATTATTTTTATTTATGTGTATGTGTGCATGTCTGTATGAGTGAATGGCACGTATGGCCCATGGAGCCCAGAAGAGGGCGTCAGATCCCCTGCAGCTGGAGTTACTGGTAGTTGTGAGCCACCCGATGTGGGTCCTGGGAACCAAATTTGGGTCTCCCACAGCAGCAAGCATTTTCTTTTTTTGGTTTTACGAGACAGGGTTTCTATGTATTGTTTTGGAGGCTGTCGGTCCAGCCCGGCCTCGAACTCACATAGATCTGCCTGCCTCTGCCTCCCGAGTGCTGGGATTAAAGGCGTGCGCCACCAACGCTCGGTTAGCAGCAAGCACTGTTAACAGCTGGGACATCTCTCTAGCTTACCTCCGGCCCTCCCTTTGAAATAAAGTCTCACTGTAGCCCTGGCAGGTCTGGAACCCACTGTTTATACCAGGCAAATCTATGTCCACCTGCTTGTGCCTCCTGAATGCTGGGATCTAAGGTGTGCACCACCACGTGTTCTAAGTTTACACCAAAGAAGACCCCCCTTTTTTATTTTATTTATTATGTTCTTCCTGCAGGCCAGAAGAGGCACCAGATCTTGTTATAAATGATTGTGAGCCACCATGTGGTTGCTGGGAATTGAACTCAGGACCTCTGGAAGAGCAGACAGTGCTCTTAACCTCTGAGCCATCCCTCCAGCCCCCAGAAGACCCCTTACTTTTGGCTACTTTCCCTTTTGAGGTAGGGTCTCACTATGTCAGCCTGACTGTCCTGGAACTCACTCTGTAGACCAGGCTGGTCTCAAACTCACAGAGATCCACCTGCCTCTGCCTCCCGAGTGCTGGGATTAAAGGCCTGTGATGTAACCCCTTATGAAAACCATCTTGTTTTGAATTTTTTATTCAGCCTTTCATTCTGAAGCTGAGACCCAAAGGAGCTAAGAAAGGCACACAGACGTCAGGCACAGTTCAACCACGGTTGAATCCGGCATGGTGGCAGCACGGGTCCCTAATCTCAACACTTGGGAGGCTGAGGTAGGAGAATTGCAGTTAGAGGCTAGCCTGGGCTGCAGAGTGAGACCCTGTCCCAAACAAGCAAACAAAAAACATATTAATAGCTTCCCCCTCTTCCAGGCTGGCTTCCAGTTTGCAGCAACATTTCTGCCCCAGTGTTAGCATTGGGGTGACAGCTATGAGGCACTGTACCCAGGTATCATTCCCATTTTTGCTCCTGTAAAATAAGCATCTAGAATGCTTCTACTTCCTTTCAACATTTATAAAAGCAATTCCGGGGCTGGGAGAGTGGTTTGGTGTTAGCCTGTCCCCTAAGTATGTGTGAGGCCCTGGGTTCAATTCCAAGCACCACCTAGATAACTCCACGCCAAAACAACACACAAGGAATTTGAAAAGGTGCGGGAAGATGCAGAGGGGCAACACTTCACAGGCGTCTTCAAATAACACTGGGACACTCATTTAAGTCCCCTGCTCATGGATAACGGTGGTAAGATTTCCCACAGGCTTTGCTTTCATCTAGGAGTAGCCATGGTTAGACCTCCTCAAAGTCGGTATCCTCTGCCAATAGTAAATATGGCTGCATTTCCCCTACGCGCTTCGCCTCCAGCCAGTAGTAAGCATGGCCGCATCTACTTCCGCCAGGCCGGGGGCGGGGACGGGGGGGTCAAGGGTGACGCAAGATGGCGGCGCCCATCGCGGCCAAAGCCTGAAGCGGACGATGCTGGCGGCGGCGACCCGGACGCTGCTGGGGTGGCGGCTGAGGTGGCCCGCACCGGTCCGCGAGCATTGGAGACCGGCCGGGCGCTCGCGGAGCCGGCGAGAGGCGGCCGAGGCCGAGGCGGACGCTCCCGTGTTCCAGTACGTGGGCGAGCGCGGGGCCCGCGCCGATCGCGTCTTCGTATGGGGCTTCAGCTTCTCGGGGGCCCTCGGAGTGCCCAGCTTCGTGGTGCCGGCCTCGGGGCCCGAACCCCGCGCTGGCCTGCGGCCCCGACGCAGAATCCAGCCGGTACCCTACCGCCTGGAGCTGGACCATAAGGTGAGGGCAGCGGCCCCCCCTCCGTGGCCTCCCTCCGAGGCCGGATTTCCGGGAGCACGACCTCCGAGTTCCCGGGAGTTGGGGAGGAAGGCGTTAGTTAGGTAGGGGTGGCTGCCAAGAAGATTGCTGACCCTCCGCCTTTGGCCGATGAGCTTGCGTCTACAGATTTTTGTGTCTTGGCATTCTCTGTGTGCGGTTTGCTTGTGGCTAGAGGAAGTTTTGTGTGTTTGTCTTGCCTGATCGCACAGGTTGACAATCCCCCCAGGCGTTCTGCCCACCTCGGGACACTTGCCCAGCCCCCGAGGAGTCTCACCTTCCAGTTACAGGGGGTGGAAGGGAGTTCCAGAGAGGTTAGGCGAGGCCCCAGGCCCCGCAGCCGGTAGCGTAGAAATAAATGACGGTATTTGTACTCAGGCTAGAGAGACTCCATGCATTAAGTCAGGGATGGTCAGAGATGCGTTGGCTGGAGTTTAAGAGATGAGCACCCAGGAAAGGGAATGCCATTCTGAGGGGTTGGAGCGAGGAGATGGGAGGCTACATTTGAAAAGGGCGCAGGAGGTCTGCTGTGGTGGCCAGCACCTGTAATCCCAGGATTGCCACAAGTTGCAGGCTGGCTTGGGCTACATAGTGAGGCCCAGTTGCTACCTTCAAAATGCTGAGATTACAGCCGCGTGCTACAGTCTCTGGTTGAGGTGGTGCTGGGGATGGAGCCCAGGGCTTTATGCATGCCACGGAAATGCAGCCACGCCACGGAAGCGCCATATCGACTGAGCTACACCTCCAACCTTGAGTTGTTGTTGTTGTTTTGTTTGTTTTTCGAGACAGGGTTTCTCTGTATTGTTTTGGAGGCTGCCCTGGAACTAACAGAGATCCACCTGCCTCTGCCTCCGGAGTGCTGGGATTAAAGGCGTGCACCACCAATGCCCGGCCATTATATATATATATAATTATTATTATTATTATTATTTGACCCTTATTTTATGTCCTTTGGGTCAAGGTATCAGATCTCCTGGAACTAGAGTTATAGACAGTTGTAATCTGTCATGTGGGTGCTGGGAATTAATTGAACCCTGGTCCTCTGGAAGAATAGTCAGTGCTCTTACCTGCTGAGCCATCTCTCCAGCCCCTTCCTTCCTTCCTTCCTTCCTTCCTTCCTTCCTTCCTTCCTTCCTTCCTTCCTTCCTTCCTTCCTTTTTTGTATATCAGTCTTCTACCTTGTGGTTTTGCTGAGCTTGTTAAATGGTTCTATAGATTTTAATTTTTTAAAAAATGTGTGTGGTGTTGCCTGTAGGCCTGTCTGTATCACTTGTGTTCCTGGTGTCCATGGAGGCCACGGCCACAAGAGGGCATTAGAGCCTGTACAGCTGGGATTACGGATGGCTGTGCGTTGTGGACTCTTTAACTATGTAAAGTTTGTCACATTTGTTTACACTGCATTGTGTAACTAGGTAGAGATGTGCTGCATTTGTTTAACCATTGAAAGATGTGTTGCTTTACCGGCCTAAAGCACCCGATTGGTCTAATAAAACGTTGAATGGCTGGTTGATAGCTGGGCAGGAGAGGGATAGGTGGGGCTGGCAGGCAGAGAGAATACATAGAAGGAGAGAAGGGAGAGAAACAAAGACCACAAGGGAGATGCCTAGGGCCAGCCAGACTCAGAGTAGGACGTACACAACGAAAGAAAGGCAAAAAACCCAGAAGCAAAAACGTAAATGAAAAGAAACAGGTTATAGTAAGTTTTAAGAGCTAGTGGGACAAGCGTAAGATAAGGCCGAGCATTCATAACTAGTAATAAGTCTCTGTGTTGTGATTTGGGAGCTGGTTTGGTTGCCCAAAAGAAAGCCTGCTACAGCTGTGAGCCTCCGTGGTAGGTGCTGGCATTGGAACCTGGGTCCTCTGAAAGGACTAGAAGTGCTCCTAACCACTGAGCCACCCACCTCTTCTACCTGCTCTTTTTTGTTTTGTTTTGTTTTGTTTTTCAAGACAGGTAGACTAGGCTGGCCTGGAACTCACAGAGATAACCCAACTCTGCCTTCTGAGTGCTGGGATTAAAGGCGTACTTCATCAGACCTGGCTCCTGCCCCTGTGCTTACAGATTTTTTTTGTGTATTTTTTAGTGGATAGAGGTAGTTTTATATCCTTGTTTCTAATCGGATGCTTCTTTTCCTAGCTTGATTTAATGGGGGGAGGGACTTTTAGTACAGTGCTAAACTGAATTAGTAAAAGCTAACATTTTTTATTTTTGAGAGAGAGAGAGAGAGAGAGTAACCCAAGTTGACTTCAGTCTCAGGGATTGCAGGTGTGTGCAGCCTTATTTAGTATAATCTTTGCTTGTCGGGAAGACATCTGTGAACCTCTTCATAGACTGTGGCTGGAGTCCCCTCCTGGTGTGTCATCCCGTCAGGCTCTCACGTTAGCTGACATTGTTAGATACTGTTCAGAGCCTTTCACATGTGAGCAGATTAAATGATACCATGCACCCTTCAAATATTTGTTGAGTGTTAAATAAACAGGTATCACTAAGCATGAGAATAATCTTAGTGTGCTGGATATTTTTTTTAGAGACAGGATTTCTCTGTGTAACAGCCCTGGCTGTCCTGCCTCGAACTCTCAGAGAGTTCCTCCTGAGTGCTGGGATTAAAGGTGTGCCCCACCACTGTCTGGTTCTGGGCATCATTTTTAGATCTATAGTTTTTCGGTTTTGGGGTGTGTGTGTGTGTCACTTGCGTGTCTGGAGCCCACAGAGACCAGAAGAGGGCATGGGACCCCATGGAACTGGAGTTAGACAGTTGTAAGCAGCCACACAGTCTTCTTCGTTTCCTCTCCTGCAGTCCAGTTAGCATCAGCCCAAGTAAGTCATCTCTGTGGGTCTCAAGCCATGTCGGAAGGATGGTGGCCTTCAGGACAGTCAGGTTGTTACACAGGGAAACCCTGTCTCAGAAACACAAACAAACAAACAAAAAAGGAAATGTGGTGTCTCTAGGAGGTTAGAAATTGACGTGTTTTGAGCAGAAGCATGGTGGTATAGATGTCTTGTATCTTAGACGGGAAACTGTCAGAAGGTGTAAAGAGGGCCGTGTCACTTTGTTCAGTCCTGGCTGTCCTGGAAATCACCAGGCTGGCCTCAGACTCAGATCTGCCTGCCTCTACCTGTGCTGGGATTGAAGGCATGCGCCACCATTGCCCTGCTGACATGTCACTTCTGAATGACATGGTTAAAGCCTCAACAATTTTTTTTCTAAGTTTTTTTTTTCAAGACAGGGTTTCTCTCTGTAGCCTTGACTGTCCTGGAACTAACCCTGCAGACCAGGCTGGCCTTGAATTCCTAGAGATCCACCTGCCTCTGCTTCCCGGAAGCCGGGGTCAAAGGGTGTGTGTCACCACCACCTGGCAACAGATTTTAATAACATTTAGTTAAGAAGCTGTGGAGCTGGGTCAGCAGTTGGTATGGTGTACTGCTGAAGAGCAAGAGTTCATTTCCCAGCAGCCCAGGGAAGTGACTCCGAGTCAACTGTAACTTCAGCTCCAGGAAAACCAGCACACCTTCTCGTCTCTGAGGGTACCGCATGGTGTGTGGGTATGCTCACATAGACACAGACACATAAATAAAAATACTAATGAAAAAAGACTGTTCCTGGCCACACATCGCAGTGTCAGCAGTTACGAGGCTGGGGCAGGAGGATTATGAAGAGTGGCACTCTGGCATTTTTGTTTTGGGTTCCTCGAGGTTCAGAGGGGTTCTCTGAGGGAGTCGCTGGGTCTCTGATACATTCAATAGCTGAGGGGTAGTGGGATGACGCTGGGCCGAGGAGTTTATAATGTGATCTAGAGCAGACATGGGGACATCAAGTGTAAAATTGAGGGCACCCCCTGCTAGCTGGGAGGGTAACTGCTCTGGGTGCTGTGGAGACGATTGATTATAGAATGAACCCCGGGTTTGGGTTACTTCTGATCCCAACTAGAATTAACGCTCCTACCAGAAGTGTGGTAGGTTTCCCTCCCAAGTTGAGTTCCTCCAGTCAGTGAAAGTGAGGACCGATGATGGTCTAGGTGACAGACTGAACAAGGCTGTTAATGTGTCAAGTTCACGGTAGCTACCGCAACACCTCTGCGTGGGTTGAGGAGGTGGCAGTGTAGCATGGGCAGCCCTCTAGAATCTTACATTCTGCACACGTTGTCTACGTTGGGTGCTGTTTATTGTGCAGGCTTTGGTGTTTGAACTCGTTTCTTCCTGGCAGCCGCCCTGTGAGAGGAGTGCCTTTGTCCTGCTCCGTCTCCACTGCGGCTCTCCGCGTTATTCCCTCGAGACAGGATCTCTCCTGAAACCGAAGCCCTTGATCTTGCTGGCTTGACGGGGTTCTCCTGTCTTGATCTTGCTGGCTTGGCTGGGGTTCTCCTGTCTCCGCCCCATAACTGAGGTTACAGACACCATGTGCAGCCATGCCAGACTTTCATGGGTGCTGGGGATCCGAACTCGGGGCCTTGTGCTTGCAGAGCAAGCACTCTTACCTCTGAGCCATTGCTCCAGCCCCTCATTTCCTTTAAAGAGTCTGAACATTTCTTCATTTTTGTGTGTGTACATGTGTATGCACGTGCTTGTGTGTCTCAGCACACATGTAGGGGTCAGAAGACAGCCTGCAGGAGTCGGTTCTCTCCCTCCACCATACGGTTCTGGGGACTGAACTCAGGTCATCAAGACACACAGCTGGGAAGGGGTGGGGCTAAGATTCACACTAAGACTGTCCGTCAACTGCCATGCTGGTGGGATGAGATGAAAATGCCCGGTGCTTGGCGTGTGCACAGAAGAAAAAAGATGGTCTAGCATAGATGGTAGATGAGGGATGAGGCCCATTCACTGTGGAAGTACATGAGTGTATGTAAATGATTGTCACTTGCTGAAAGCACTGGCATCACTAATCAGTTCATGGTGCATTGTGGGAACTCTTTCAGATTTCCTCTGCTGCCTGTGGCTATGGATTCACACTGCTGTCCTCGAAAACCAAGGATGTTACGAAAGTCTGGGGTATGGGACTCAACAAAGATTCTCAGCTTGGATTCCACAGGAGCCGGAAGGATAAAAGTAAGCAGGTATCCTTACCATAAACCACAGCAGCAAATAAAGAGGGCTGTGTTGGTGTATGCCTCTAACCCCAGCAAGGGAGAGCCTGAGGGAGGAGGAGCTTGAGTTTGAGGCCAGCCTGGGCTACATATCAAAAATTCAGGGGCTGGCCGGGCAGTGGTAGCGCTTTGATCCCAGCACTCAGGAGGCAGAGGCAGGCGGATCTCTGTGAATTTGAGGCCAGCCTGGTCTACAGAGTGAGTTCCAGGACAATCTCCAAAGCCACAGAGAAACCCTGTCTCGAAAAACCAAAAAAACCTGAAACAACAACAGAAACCCCAAACAAAACAAAACCCCAAGGACTGAAGCCAGGTGTTGTGGGATATTAAGGGGCAAAGATGTGTTACATTTGCTTAATTACAAAGATGTCTTGCATCTGTTTCACCTTGCCTGCCTAAGGCACCTGATTGGTCTAATAAAGAGCTAAACAGCCAATAGCTAGGCAGAGAAAGGATAGGCCAGGCTGGTGGGCATAGAGAGTAAATGGGAGAAGAAAAGAGAAAAGAGGAAGAGAAGACAGAACGAGGGATGTGTTTGGGGTAAGAAGCCAGGCAGCTGCCAGCCACAAGCAGCAGGGAAAGTAAGGTCTACAGGAGGAAGGAAAGAGGCAAAGGCAAGGAGCTCCCAAGCAAAAGGCAAAGAGAAATAGCGCTAGCAGAAACGAGCCTAGGCTAGGCCAAGCTTTTGTAACTAATAAGAGTTTCCATGTCATGATTTGGGAACAGGTACAGGTGTGGTGGTGCACAGCTGAAATCCCACGCCTATGAGCCACGCTGCGTGTGTGGGAGCTCAGAGCACAGCTTGTGGGAACTGATTCTCTTCCATGTGAGCTTGGGTTGCCAGGCTCGGTGGCCAGCACTTTTACCAGCTGTGCCATTTTTCTGGCTTGGTCTTTGTATCCTGAGCTGGAATTACCGATGTGTCACCGTGCCTAGCTGTGGTACTTTATTTGAAAGAAACATTACTCTTTTCTTTTGTTCATTCCCTAGTCCTTTTAGGCTACTTCTCCTCTCAGAGTTTTAGTTTAGTTTGATTCTGCGTTTGCGTGTGCGTGTGTATGTGTGTGTGTGAGCGCGCACGTGTGCTTGTGCTGATAAGCAAACCTTCTGCAGCTAGATTATTGGCCCATGAGACTGATTTATTTATTCAGGTTTTATTGAAACAGGTCTGCATCTGTAGCTCTCCTGCCTCACCCCCTGAGTTCTGGGACTATTAGGGTCAACTTTCAAGATGTCTCTTCTTTTTTAAGGTAGCCCAGGCTGGTTTGGAACTCACCACTTAGCTGAGGATGACCTTGACTTTGGATCTCCTTGCCTCTGGGATTTCTGTGGTGCTGGGGATGGAGCCCAGGACTCTGTTCTAGGACAGCACACTGAGCTTCCACCGCAGTCCTGGAGAGTCAGAGACTGGCACGGTGCTCAGGACCTGCCTTGGCGGGAAGGCAGTGTGGGAGGGCAGGCTGGAGTCGGCTTCGCAGGCCAGCCCTGGCCAGAGTGTGCGTGCTGAGTTGTTGCTGAGTTCCTTCCTGTGTGAAGCAGTGAGGTTGCACAGTCAGGTTTCTGTAAGAGCTGGTGTGACCGAGTCAGTGGCCGCACTGTGACTGGCGCTTCTGCTCAGCCAGGGGCTACGAGTACGTTTTGGAGCCCTCACCCGTCGCGCTGCCCCTCGACAGACCTCAGGAGACGAAGGTGTTGCAGGTGTCCTGCGGTCGAGCACACTCCCTTATCCTGACAGACAGAGAAGGTGGTGAGTGGTCTCGCTGAGGGCATCTGAGAAAGCAGCCTTGCTGTTGGCAGTCTCCTGCTTGGTGTGGCAAGGTGTTCCCGGCAGACTTGGGGGGGCTTGTTATCCCTTGTGCTCCCCGCTGTGCTCAAAAGCAGCTACCCACTGTACCTCTGAGCTCTACCTCAGCCCTTGATTTATTGTTAATTTTTATTTATGTGTATGTGTGTATATTTGAGTGCATGCTACATATGTGTGGTCTCTGCAGAGGCCCGAAGACCGTATCAGATCCTCAGGAGCAGCAAGCTCTCCTAACTGCTCAACTAGCTCTGCAGCCCTACTTTTTTTTTTTAAAGATTTTATTTCTCATTGTGTGTTTATGTTTGTGTCTGAGCCTCCAGTGCCCAGCTGGACAGAAGGCGCATCTACCAATGGCGTCGTGTCCTGTTCCCGTGTCCGTGTCCGCACAGTTCTGGGGTCATGGCAGTTGATTGTGACGTCAGTCTGGGAGTGGAATCAGGTCTAGGAGAGAAGCAAGCCCAGGCCCTGCCCCACTCATGGGCTGCTCAGAGGCTGGAGTGTGGGAGGGAGCCGTGAGGCTAGTGAGGAGTGAGGTGTGCAGGCCGGGGCCACCTGTGTCAGCCCCCGTGCTGCTGTGGTGGGGCCGTGGAGCCCTAGAGCTGACCTGATGGCGGGCTGTGCTTCAGTCTTCAGCATGGGCAACAATTCCCACGGGCAGTGCGGACGGAAGGTGGTGGAGGACGAGGTGTACAGGTGAGTCAAACCGCGCTCTCCCCAGTGTGGGAGCCTTCCCTCAGCAGGGGCGCCACCCTTTGTAGGGTGAGGGGGCGGGTGGAAGAGCACTGGTCATGGTGTGTAAAGTGTTAATTTTGTAGTATGTGTGTGTGTATGCACACACTTACACGTGCTCATCGTGTATGGAGGCCAGAGGATAATTTTCAGGAATCAGTTCTCACCTACCTTGTAGCTTCTGGGGATAGAACTCAGGTTGTTGGGTTTGGTGGCAAGTGCCTTTACCTAATGAGCCATCTTGCTAGGCCCCTCAATTCTTTCATTTTCTAGAGACAGTTTTTCACTGTGTATCCTTGATTGGTCTGGAAGTTTCTGTCTCAGGTTGGCCTTGAATTTCCAGAGATTACCTGCCTCTGCCTCCCACGTGCTGGGATTAAAGAGTGTACCATTATGTCTGGCTATTCTCTATTTAATTTTGAAAAATTTTCCACTTTACCAAATTTATTAAAAACAGTTCCCCTTCATTTTAGTGTTGAAAGTATTTTCCCAAGCCAGGTGTAGTAGTTCATGGCTGTAATGCCAGCATTTAGGAAGTACAAGTAAGAGAGCTGAACTTTCAGGGCAGTTTATGTTGACCTCATCTCAAAAGATAAAGGGTGGTAGCGCACGCCTTTCCCGCATTCAGGAGGAGAGGCAGGAGGATCTCTGAATTAGAGGCCAGCCTGGTCTACAGAGGGAGTTCAAGGCCAGCCAGGTTACATAATAGAGAGACCCCGTCTCAAAAACAAACAAACAAACAGAAATGAGCTAGGACTGCAGCTCCTTGGTTGAATACTTTTCTCTCCCAGTGAGAACCAGGCGTGGTTGAGCGGTAGACCAGTTGCCCAAAGGGCCCCAGTTAGGGGCTAGAATATGCCTAGGCAGTATAGGGTTTGTCTGGCATGTGTGAGAGCTGGGTTCCAGCCTCAGTGCCATAAAAAAGCAAACAAACAAATGGGCTAGCTAGATGCTCAGCAGTGAAGAGTAGTTACTGCTCTTTTCTTTTTTCTTTTCTTTTTTTTCTTTTTTGGTTTTTTCAAGACAGGGTTTCTATATTGTTTTTTTGGAAGCTGTCCTGGAACTCGCTCTGTAGACCAGGCTGGCCTCGAACTCACAGAGATCCGCCTGCCTCTGCCTCCCGAGTGCTGGGATTAAAGGCTGTGCCACCACTGCCCGGCTGCAGTTGCTGCTCTTGCAGAGGACTGGAGTTCTGTCCCCAGCACCATGTTGGGGGTTCACAGTCACCCGTGACTCTAACTTCAGGGTTATGTCTGTGGCCTCCACGGTCTCCTGTACACTTGTGCACATACCCACACCCATGATTGAACGCTGACAGACAAGACAACCTCAGTTAGCCGTCCCACATTTGACCTTGAGAGCTGTTGTAATGTTTGTGTATGTGGGGACATGACTGTGCAGGTAGGGATGATGGAGGTGGGTGCTGGGTGGGGCCCAGCCTGCATGGGACTCATGACTGCCTCTGTTGCTTCTCCCCAATTTGTTCCTGACTGCAGTGAGAGTCACACAGTGCACAGGATGCAGGACTTTGATGGACAGGTGGTCCAGGTAAGAGGCTTGGCCTGAGGACTTTTGGGGTGCTTTTGAAAGGTTGCAAGGTGTGCAGGGTGATGTCACATTTGTCATTGGACTTCTCTGAATGTCTTAGGGGTACTGTTGAAGCACCATTACCGTAAGCAAGTTGGGAAGGAAAGGGTATATGTGGCTTATGCTTCCATATCGCTGTCCATCACTGAGGGAAGTCAGGACAGGAATTCAAACAGGGCAGGAACCTGGAGCAGGAGCTGATGCAGAGGCCATGGAGGATGCTGCTAATTTTCTTCCCCTGGCTTGCTCAGCCTGCTTTTTTATAGAATGCAGGACCCCAGCCCAGGGATGCCCACAGGCTTGCCTCTTTCTCTCTCTTTTTCTTTCTTGACTTTTTGGAGACAGGGATTCTCCTGTAGCCCTGGCTGTCTTGGAACTAGCTGTGTAGACCAGGCTGGCACTGAACTCAGAGATCTGCCCGCCTCTGCCTCCCGAGTGCTGGGACTAAAGATATGCTCCAGCACTCCAAGCTAAGCCCAGTCTTACATTAGAGGCGTTTTCTCAATTGAGGCTCCCTCTTCTCTGATGATGCCAGCTTGTGTCAAGTTGATGTGAAAGTGGCCGGCACACTGGATGACGAGATTAGTGGGACTTAACTCACACAGCCAGAGCTGATGCTAGAGTGTAGGAGCAGGACAGAAGGGAAGGGTTTTCTTTTGCTCTTTTGTTTTTTTTTCAAGGCAGGGTTTCTCTGTGGCATTGTAGGCTGGATGTTGCAGGTTTAGTAGTCAGTTGCAGTAGAGTGGAGTTCTTCAACTGCTTTGTAGTCCCATGAATATGAGTTCAAGTCCCTGCTCCTCCACTTACTTGCTCAGTGACTTTGGGTAAGTCACTAAACTTTGGTGGTTCATTTGTGCTAGGGTGTCTTGACTGCTGCCTTAGCATAACTCCTGGTGGAACAGCTGACCCGTGAGCTAGGAAAAGAAATCCTGGTATCTTATTGTCCTGTAGACAGGCAGTCATGTGGTGCTGGGCCCCAGGAAAGCCTGGGGTGGGGGTGGTGGACGGTGCCTTCCAGAAAAGTGTGAATAGGGGAGAGACAACCGATTCCAACAGGGAAGGTGACGAAGAGGCCGGGGTTACAGAGGAGAGGTGGGGAGGGCCAGATGGGACACTGTAGGGTGAAGGAGGGACCTGAGGGAGAGAGTAAACTGAAGGTGATCTGGGGCAAGCCTGCGTGATCCAGGGCCCCCTTGTGTGTAGGACTGGCTGCCTGGGCTCTGACAGCACCGTGTCTCTGTCTGCCAGGTTGTCTGTGGTCAGGACCACAGCCTGTTCCTCACAAACAAAGGGGAAGTCTATTCCTGTGGATGGGGTGCCGATGGACAGACAGGTAGGTGCTTGTTGCCCCCTTGGGGAGGCCTGTGGCCTCTGCAGCCATTGTGGGCTGTAGGGTTCATGGTCTAGGTTTGGGTCTTCTGGGGACTGCCATCTTTTGTATTCTTTCCTGGTTCTTTTGCTGCTGGTTTCCATAGAAACGAACCAAGAAGGTGTCAGAGGTTCCTCAGCACTGTTGTCAGTAGCAGAGCCCTGGGCCTCATTCATCCCAGCAACTGGAGTCTGGAGGAGCAGGCTTATCTGTTGCCTCTGCTGACTCCTGCTGGTAGTGCTTGATCCCTCAGGGCTTAGGGACTTGACCATGAACTTGTGTTTTATTGAGTTCAATTTGTGGGAACCTTCAGGACCTGCATTAGGATCACTCCTCTAGAAGGCATTTCATTGGCCCTGGCCTGGTGCCAGGCCTCTGCTTCCCTGAGGACTTGGTTTACCCAGGAGTCTGTGGTTCAGTGCTGTGCTCTGACTGGCTGCCCAGTAAGGTCTTCTGCTGTCTGGTGGCCTCTAACTCGTGGCTTGAGTGGCCTCTTCCCCTAGTCTGCTGGCCTACCTGTACACGAGCCCACAGGTGCATGCCGCTGTGCTGGCTTCAGTGTCTCCTAGCAAGCCCGGAGAGTGTTAGAAACTGCTTCCAGGGCTTCCAGGAGTGTGGCTCACTGCTACCTCTGTCCCTAGCATGACAGACAGACAGTAACTGCTTATAATGTATGCAAACTCTGAAAGCTTTATCATACAGTGCTAGTTCATCCTCCAGAATTTCCTAACTTGACTCTTGGGGGTTTTGTTTGAGGATTTTCTCTCTCTCTCTCTCTCTCTCTCTCTCTCTCTCTCTCTCTCTCTCTCTCTCTCTCTCTCTCTCTCTCTCTCTCTTTTTTTTTTTTGACACAGGGTCTTTCTATTTAGTCCTGACTACCTTGGAACTGGCTATGTAGATCAGGCTGGCTTTGAATTCACAGAGGCCTCCTGCTTCTGCCTCCCGAGGAGGAATAAAGGCGTGCACCACCACGTCTGTTGAGGGTCTGTTTCTTTCTTTCTTTTTCTTTTGGGTTTTTCAAGGCAGGGTTTCTCTGTGGCTTTGGAGGCTGTCCTGTAACTTGCTCTTGTAGACCAGACTGCTCTCGACTCACAGAGATCCACCTGCCTCTGACTCCCGAGTGCTGGGATTAAAGGTGTGTGCCACTACTGCCTGGCTGAGGGTTTGTTTCTAAGGCTGTCCTGGAACTCAAGTATAGACCAGGCTGGTTTAGAACTCACAGTATAGCCCAGGCTGTCTTGGAACTCATGATCCTCCTGTCCTCAGTCTTTCAACTTGATTCAGACCTAAACATTCCCAGTGTGTTTAAAATAGTTCAGGTACGAGTTTGCAGTTTGTCTCTTTGGGGAAAAGTGCTGTCCGTGTGCCTGTTCTTGCCCGAGTCTCCTGTGTCTGTGAGCTAATACATGTTTCCTGCTGTGCTAGGCCTGGGTCACTACAACATCACCAGCACACCCACCAAACTGGGCGGAGACCTTGCTGGGGTGGCAGTTGTCCAGGTTGCCACCTACGGTGACTGCTGCTTGGCTGTGTCCTCCGATGGAGGGGTCTTTGGCTGGGGAAATTCTGAGTACCTGCAGCTGGCCTCCGTCACAGACTCCACTCAGGTATGTAGCTGGTGGGAGCCAAGGCTTCGCTGTAGACCTGTGCTTCGGGTGTAGCCTGGTGTCACGCTGCCTCTGCTCTGATGTCTCCTTAGAGTCCAAAAAAGAAGAGTAGGTTTGAAGCCACCGGGACTAGCTGGCCCTGGTTTACGACAGGCTGGCTTCTGCCCTCTGGATCAAAGATGTGCACCACGACCCCAGCTTATTTTAACTTTTTACACTCCCTTGTTAGAGAGTGTGTGCATGTGTGGTCAGAGGACAGCTCGTAGGAATTAGTTCTCTCCTTGTACCATGCTGGTTCTTGGGATCAAACTCTGGTAGTCAAGCTTGGCAGCAAATGGGTTTATCTGCTGAGCTATCTCATTAACTCTACTTTTTTATTTTTTTTGCTTTTTTTTTGTGAGACATGGTCTCACCCTGTAGCCTTGGGCTGGGAGAGAACTCAAGGCGGTCCTCTTGACTCAGCTGCAGAGTAGTGGACTACAGGTGGAGCCACCACACCCAGAGGCATGGAGTCAGGGTCAGGCTGTAGCCCCTACTGACCTCCTCCAAGTTCCCAGCCTTTAGAGCAGCACCACTGTTTACTGCTCTAGTTGGCAGCATGACCTGGGAGAGTGGAGCCTAAAACTGAGGCAGATTGAAGTCTGACACAGTAGCCGGCTTTATTCAGAGCATCGGACGGTTGATACGAGGAGGCTTGGGAGGGGTCAGATTGAAGTCTGACACAGTAGCCGGCTTTATTCAGAGCATCGGACGGTTGATACGAGGAGGCTTGGGAGGGGTCAGATTGAAGTCTGACACAGTAGCCGGCTTTATTCAGAGCATCGGACGGTTGATACGGGAGGCTTGGGAGGGGTCACCTGAGTAAAGCGTCCAGTCACAAGGATAAACTGTCCGTGGCAAAAACATGAGTAACAACGGCTGAAGTAACTCACTCCTGTCTGCTGTATTTGGGAAGAGCACAAAGACACAATCCAAGAACGAGTCTGTGTTTGAAGAAACTGAGGTTGTAAGACTTGTTTTCTTGGAGTTTTCTCGCAAGCACTCAGAATTCTCACACGGCTCCATTCTTGGACCGTGTTCCATAGTATCTCAAGCTGGGGAGTAAGTTTCAAAGCTGAGCTGAGCCAGGGGTGTAGTGGCGCACACCTTTAATCTCAGGGAGAGACAGGCAGATCTCTGTGAGTTCAAGGCCAGCCTGGTCTACAGAGTGAGTTCCAGGACAGCCAGGGCTACACAGACAGACCCAGTTTCAAAACAAACAAAAAACCCAAACAACAAACACCCCCAGATAACACATGAGCCTGTAGGGCCATTTCTGATTCAAAGATGACAAGGACCATATTCACACAATGGTTTACAGTATCCCAGTGACCTGGCTTCCCTACTCATTATTTTTCTCTAAGATTGAATTTATGTGTATGTGCTGTGTCCGTGTGGATCAGCGTGTGAGTGTGGGCGCCCTCAGAGGCTGGTGGAGAGTATTGGATTCCCTGGAGCTAGAGTTACGGGTAGTCGTGGGTGGCCAGAGTGGGGCTGGAAACTGAACTTGGGTGCGCCGAAAGAGCAGCAGGCATTCCTAAAAAGCAGTTAGTTCTTTTTCAAATTTTTATTTTGGGACAGGGTCTCACTATGTATCCCCAATGGGTTTGCAACTTGTTATGTAGACAAGGCTGGCCTTGAACTCACAAAAATCTGCCTGCCTCTTCATTCTGAGTGCAGGACTTAAAGGTGTGTGCTATCTTCCTTCCTTCCTTCCTTCCTTCCTTCCTTCCTTCCTTCCTTCCTTCCTTCCTTCCTTCCTCCCCCGTCTTCCTTCCTCCCCCGTCTTTCTTTCTTTCTTTCTTTCTTTCTTTCTTTCTTTCTTTCTTTCTTTCTTTCTTTCTTTCATTCATTCTTTTCTGACAGGGTTTTGATTCATAACTGTGGCTGGCCTCTGCCTCCTGTGGTGGATTAAAGGCATGGCCCCCACATCTGGTCAGTTCTGACCACTTAGAGACCTGCCTGCCTCTGCCTCCTATGTGGGATTAAAGGCGTGCGCACCACATCTGGTCAGTTCTGACCACTTAGAGTGGCTGTGCTTGTCCTGTTCCCATGGAACATCTCTTCCACTGGAGGATGCTACCTTCTCCCTTGCCCCAGATACCCTGTCTTACCCCCCAGAGTGCAGGAAAAGTGACACCTCCCCTCTCCCCCATGTCAGGTCAGCCTCTTAGAGACTCCTGGAAATCCCCTCCACACTTTAGGCACAAACAAGGTGCTGAGTTTGATTGACATCTGCCTCCCAGAAGAGTGGGAACTGGGCCCCTCTGGCTTCTTTCTGTGTCCTGAGCCCTTGGTTAGGAAGCTCAGCGAGTGAGAGGTACTGGGGAGACTTTGTGGAGTCCGTGGTGAAGGGGCACTAGCCAAGGATTCTTCCTGCTTCTGGCTCCTTTGTTCTCCTAACCACGCCCACCCTTTTCTTTGGTGCAGGTTAATGTCCCTCGGTGCCTGCCTTTCTCCGAAGTAGGCAAGGTGAAGCAGGTGGCTTGTGGTGGCACGGGCTGTGCTGTATTGAATGGTGAGAGTCACTTCTTGGCAGCTCTTTGAGAAGCACTGGGCAGATCAGATAGGGAAGAGGACAGTTCGTCCTGTGGATGGCGTCCTGAAGAGGGGAATATGGCTATGGGAACATCTAGTTGGAGTCATTACAGGGTAGGGGTGAGATTCTCAGCAGGTTAGTAGCTCATGATATAAATGTATTAGACAGCCTGGCGGTGGTGGCGCACGCCTTTAATCCCAGCACTTGGGAGGCAGAGGCAGGCGGATCTCTGTGAGTTTGAGGCCAGGCTGGACCGACAGCCTCCAAAACAATACAGAGAAACCCTGTCTCGTAAAAACCAAAAAAAAAAAAAAAAATGTATTAGACAGCCACAGCCACAGAGCTTTGTCATTTTATAGCAAACATCTGGATCTTTGAGCTGGGACTAGACACAGGCCCTATGCATCCTGGGGGATTCTAGGCGGGCGCTCTACCTGCCTGTCCAGGGTCTCATGCATGAAAAACCTGCCCTGTCACTGTGCTCTGCCCCTAAGCAGTAGTACTGCACTTGTTATATAGCCAGGGCTGCAGAGTAGTTCAGTGGTAAAGTGCTTATGCATGAAGAGCCAGATGCTGTCCTTAGCCCCGCATCAAAGGGAGGGGAGGGAGGGCGGGAAGGGGGAAGGGCAATGAGAAGAAAGTAAGGAAGTGGAAAGGGGAAGGGAAGGGAAGTCTGGACGTCGCCATTGCAGGTCTCTGACTCCCAACGCTCAGGAGGCCGTGGTAGAGGATTATAAAGTCCAGGCCAGCCTGGACTGTGTTGTAAGACTTTGTCTTAAAACAACACCGGGAGCTAGAGAGATGACTCAGTGGTTAGGAGCACTTGTTTTTTGCAAAAGACCCAGGTTCGATTCCCAGCACCCACATAGCAGTTTGGCTATCCCTAAGTCCAGGGAACTTGATACCCTGTTTTGACCTCCTCAAGCATCAGGCACCCAGGTTGTACACAGATACACATTTGGGTAAAAGACCCATACACATAAAATAAACCTGAAAAACAAAAGCAAACCACCCCTAGCAACACCCCAAATTTCTACTCCCCAAAAAGCAAGTTAAGAAACATTTCTAAGAGTTTTGTTTTTGTGATTTTTTTCTTCTTTTTTTGAGACATGGTTTCTCTGTGTGGCTCTGGCTGTCCTGGAACTCACTCTGTAGACCAGGCTGGCCTTGATCTCACAGAGATCCTCCTGCCTCTGCCTCCCGAGTGCCGAGATTAAAGGTGTGCGCCACCACCCTGCTCTTTCTTTAATAATCGGTCAGAATGACTTGTGTCTGATGTGGTGGTCTGATCAGTGTGAAATTTGGAGCTGTTGGTGGGGAAAGTGTCCACAGGATTTTGTGTGCCAGTGAGTTTTGTGGACCTCCTCCCCACTGCCCTCTGAGATTGGCTTCCTCCCTAGCCAGACTCCATTGGCAAGTATGTAGTCAGGGGGAGAATCATTTTCAACCTGCTAGCACAGTGTGTCTCACGTGTCCCAAGGATCCTCCTGCCTCCACCCCGAGTCCAGGGATTGCAGGCATGCTCTGCCACACTTGTTTTCTGTGGTCTAGGGGTGGAGCCCCGGGCTTCATGCATGCTAGGCGCGCACTCTACCAACCGAGCCCCGCCCCAGCCCCTATAGTTTTTGAGGCCAGGGAGGCTGTGTTTGGCTTGACTCACAACCACTGTTTTTGTTGTAACACAGAAGAAGGACATATCTTTGTCTGGGGCTATGGAATTCTTGGGAAAGGACCAAACCTCTTGGAAACGGCTCTTCCAGAAATGATTCCACCTACGCTCTTTGGCTTGACGGAGTTCAACCCCCACGTCCAGGTTTCCCAGATCCGATGCGGGCTTAGCCATTTTGCTGCACTCACCAGTAAGTTACCCTGCTGGGCAGCCAGGCCAGAGTCTGTTCCTTCTCAAACTGGGACAGCTCTCAGCTGCTGTCTTCAACCTACATCCATTTATAGCCATCCATCTTTTCACCCATCTTTCTGTCTGTCCTTCCCTGCATTCTACCGTCTGTCTGTCTGTCAATTTCTGTCCATCCTTCTCTTCCTTCCTCTATCCACCCGTCTGTCCGTCCAATAGATTGATGTCTCCATGGAATAAGCAGAGGGAGGCCATGTCATGTCTGTGTCGTGTGACATACCTTGTTCATGCTGGCACTTTGGGTTGGGTTCTTTGTTTGTGGTCAGGCTTACGCTGCAGTGTGCTCTCTTAGGCACCTGTTGCAGGCTGGGTGGGGAGAAGGGTTTGGTAGGGTGCTAGTGCAAACCAGGAGAGGTTTAGGCCGTGTGTGGGTGAGTGTGCAGGGGCAAGTGGCCCACCTTGCTGGCAGTAAAGCTCAGACCCCCCAAGGTGCTAGGGAGGGGTGAACAGAGGCGGCTGCTGGACAGGCTGTGGAGCCATGAAAGACCAAGTGTCCCACAGTGTCTGCACCGGGCCCTCCCTCGTGTTCTGCCACCACATCTCAGTTCAGGTGGCTGCTCAGCAATCCCATGGACATCAGTTACCGTGTGCATGTCACCGTAGTGATTCCCGGGGAATATGCTGCTTCCTTGTCGATCAAAAGTCTTCTTGAGAGAAAAGCTTAACTTTTCCTTTTTTTCTTCCCACTAGAGTCGAATTTGCTTTTTCTGGTCCTTTTAGTCTGCCATTTAATTGACTTCCATGTCTACCTCCAACGGCATGGCTCCTTTTCACTCATCTTAAGTTCCCATTTGTGAATCTGTAATGAGCTGCTCTCTAAAACTAAGTCTTTTTTGACTTGAGATGTGACTCAGCAGTAGATTTCTCCTGCCTAGAATCCCCAGTGAGGGGCTGGGGTGTGACTCAGTGGTAGAGCACCTGCCTAGAATCCCCCAGTGAGGGGCTGGGGTGTGGCTCAGTGGTAGAGCTCCTGCCTAGAATCCCCCAGTAAGGGGCTGGGGTGTGGCTCAGTGGTAGAGCTCCTGCCTAGAATCTCCCAGTGAGGGGCTGGGGTGTGACTCAGTGGTAGAGCACCTGCCTAGAATCCCCCAGTGAGGAGCTGGGGTGTGGCTCAGTGGAAGTGCACCTATATAGAATGCCCGAGTGTGAGGGTCTAGTGACATGGTTCAGTAGTAGAATGGCCACCTAGACTTTGTCGGTGAGGGGCGTGGCTCAGCAGTAAAGCACTTTCTCCACAGTGTAGTCATTGTCTTTATTGGTTTGTTCATTTATTCATTTTTGGCTCTTCTACTAGGTAAAGGTCATGAGGACAGGAAGCACGTTTGTTCAGTTGCTGGCCTGTCCCCAGTGCCCAGCACACAGACATAGACCCTAGTTGCTCTCTGCCTCCTCACAGAACATCCACACACTGAAACCCAAGCAGACCTGGCTGTCTTGCTTCACCGGCAGTCAGAAAGGCAGAGCTGGGTCAGACGGAGCTGTGGGCGGTCAGGCCACCACAGTGATCAGAGAGGGCTGTGCACGGGAGCCCTGGCTGTCCCACACAAAGCCTTGTCTCCTAGACTGGCTGTCAAAAGGCCTGGCTTGGACCTGGTTTGGGGATGGAACATTCACTAAGGGACTTTTCTCTGAGATTCAGTTCAGAGGCTGAGCAGTAGGTTCTGCTTGTCCCTGGCTCTTTTTACCTCTTGAGATAGGGTTTCTCTGTATTGTTTTGGAGGCTGTCCTGGAACTCACTCTGTAGACCAGGCTGGCCTCGAACTCACAGAGATCCGCCTACCTCTGCCTCCCGAGTGCTGGGATTAAAGGCGAACGCCACCACCGTCCAGCATCCCTGGCTCTTGGAAGGCCTTCCTCTTGATGGCCTGCTCCTTGTGTAGCTCCAACAAAGTTCCTGTCTTCTTTCCTTGGCAGACAAAGGCGAACTATTCGTGTGGGGCAAGAACATCCGAGGGTGCTTGGGGATTGGACGCCTCGAAGATCAGTACTTCCCGTGGAGGGTAAGACCATGCAGGGGTGGGTTGTGGAGGGTCTGACCATGCAGGGGTGGGTTGTGGGAGGGTCTGACCATGCAGGGGTGGGTTGTGGAGGGTCTGACCATGCAGGGGTGGGTTGTGGAGGGTAAGACCATGCAGGGGTGGGTTGTGGGAGGGCGTGCCAAGGGAAGCAAAACCTAGTACAGGACAGAGTCCAGGACCTGCTGTGTGCCGCTCTCTAGGATAAGCTCTGGGGAGGCGATGGGCAGGGGCTGCATGCAGCAGCAGCAGCCTCCAAGTGTGCAGCCTGCAGCCTTCTCTCCATGCAGTCGTTCTATCGCAGGCGCAGGCTGTACCTGCTCAGTGCTCCAGCCTCTGAGAAGCTACCGGGTAGAGTAGTAGCATAGCACACATGAACCCCTGCGATCCCTCCCCAGCATCACGTAAACGTAGTGGGGTGGCCCACACCTTTAATCCCAGCACTACACTTGTGGAAGCAGAAAAACCAGAAGTTCAAGGTCATCCTTAGCTACAACATGGCCAGTTTGAGGCCAGCCTGAGCTGCTTGAGTCTCAGTCTAGAAAGGAAGGAAGGAATGAAGGGAGGAAGGGAAAGGAAAGGAAAGGAAAGGAAGGAAAGAAATTAGCTCACAATTTAGGAACATTATCAAAATCCAATCTTTCAAGACAATATGTATACAAGCACACATGTACATGCAGATTCCTCTGCGGACTATTGCTGGTTTGGTCTAGAGAGCCAGCATTCCCCACCCTCCTCCTTTCCTGCCTGCCCTCTATTCTTTTTCTCTCTCTCTTTTTGTTTTTGGTTTTGTTTTTTGTTTTTTGATTTTTTTCGAGATAGGGTTTCTCTGTATTGTTTTGGAGGCTGTCCTGGAACTCACTCTGTAGACCAGGCTGGCCTCAAACTCACAGGGATCCATTTGCCTTTGCCTCCTAAGTTCTGAGATCAAGGGTGTGCGCCACCACCGCCCATCTTCATTATATCCTTTGTATTCAGTCCAGGACTCCAGTCCATGGGATTGTGCTGCTCACTTTCAGGGTGGGTCTTCCATCTCAGTTAAACCAACCCAGGGACACCCTTACAGACATGGCCATGTCTCCTAGGTGATTCCAGAGCCCGTTATGCTGACCTTCAGCGTTAACCGTCACAACTGGATACCTGCTGCAGCACCTTGGCTTCTGGCTAAGACCCATGTGTAGGCTGCTGGAACCCGAGATCTCCATTCTCAGCATGCACCCTCTTGCTCTGACTCCGTGAGCTAGAGGCATGTCATCCTGCTGGCCGTGGGCTTCCCAGTGCGCTTTCCTGTTGCAGGATGAGCCCTCGTGTTGGCAGCATCTCATTGCCTACTGTCTTGCACATTTGGTGGACCCCAAGGGCTCACATGCCAGGCGACTACATTGTCTCTTGTCATCTTGTGATGAGATGAAGGGGAGGGCTTGACAGGTTTCATTAGTTTTTCATTCTTGTAACAAAATACCTGGGGTCATCTACTTAACAGAGGAGATGTTTAATTTGGTTCTTGGTTTTAGAAGCTTTAGCTGGGGTCAGCTGACCCCATTGCTTTGAGCCTTTGGCAGGGCGGTACAACATAGCAGGGGACATGTGACCTTAAAGCTGCTCACCTCATGGAGACTGGGATCAGAGGGATAGAAAGGGGTTGGGGCCCGTCATTATCCTCAAAGGCATGCTCCCTGTGCTGGCTAGGGTTTGCTTATTTGTTTGTTGGTTTATTTGTCTATTTTTGTCAACTTGACCCAGCCAGAGTCATCTGAGAGGAAGGAATCTTAACTGAGAAAATGCCTTTGTAAAACTGTATCGGCAAGCCTGTAGGGCATTTTTAAACTAGTGATTGATGTGGGAGGGTCCAGCCCACTGTAGGTAATGCCGCATCTGGGCTGGTGGTCCTGCGTGCATAAGAAAGCAGGTTGAAGCCGGGCGTTGGTGGCGCACGCCTTTAATCCCAGCACTCGGGAGGCAGAGGCAGGCGGATCTCTGTGAGTTCGAGGCCAGGCTGGACCGACAGCCTCCAAAACAGAGAAACCCTGTCTCGTAAAACCAAAAAAAAAAAAAAAAAAAAAAAAGAAAGCAGGTTGAGCAAGCCATGGGGAGCAAGACAGCAGGCAGCATCTTCCATAGCTTCTACCTCGGTTCCTGCCTCCAGGTTCCTGCCCTGATTTCCCTCAGTGATGGACTGTGACATGGAGGCATAGCCAAATGAGCCCTTTCCTCCCCAAGGTGCTTAAGGGCATGGTGTTTTGTCACAGCAATGGGAAATCTAAGGCATCCCCAGTCCCTAATTTACCTTCAGGAGGCTCCACCCCTATAGAGTTCTGCCATTTCCCAGTAGCATCGAGCCGGGGATCAAGCTTTCAACACATGGGCCTTGAGGGCACACTTAAGATCCAAGCCATAGGCAAGGGTGCTGTGGGGCTCACTTCTTGCAGATGTGAGATGTGAGACTTGAGGCGGATCCCATGGGGGGAGGGGGCATACGTACCAGTCATAGGTGAAGCCAGATTCAGATCTTTTCATTTGATGATACATGCCTGCAATCATAGCCACCTGGAAGGCTGAGGCAGGAGAATCAGATCAGCCTGGGCTATATAGTGAGATTCTCTCTCTCTCTCTCTCTCTCTCTCTCTCTCTCTCTCTCTCTCTCTCTCTCTCTCTCTCTCTCTCTCTCTCTCTCTCTCTCTCTCTCTCTCAGACAGACAGACAGACAGACAGACAGACAGAAGGCTTGCTTAGCCTGTCTTCTGGGTTCAGTTCGTAGCACCACAAAAACCGGGAGTGGTAGAGCACACCTGTAACCCCAGGACTTGAGAGCAAGAGGTGGAGGCAGGAGGATCAGAAGTTCAGGGTTATCCTCAGGTGCATGAGTTTGAGGCTAGCTGTGCTACACGAGACCTGGAGACCAAAAACCCCCACATGAGTAGGGACAGACTTATTGTAGAGTAATTTCAGAGACCTGAGACACCACACGTGCCAGGGGCACTGGAGTTTCAGGGCCACTGCTGTTCCCTAAGGTCCTGGCCAGCAGGCAGAGACCAAACAGCTTCCTGCACTTTGGGCTCTAATGGCAGAGCATCTGGGGAACAGCATTAGGTGCTTAAGTGCAGTGGGCTGGCTATAGATGATCACGGCCAGGCACTTTCCCAGGGGAGGTAAACATGATCTCAAGGGGCCTGGGAGGTTGCTAAGAACCCACCTGGCTAGGTCACCGCAGGGCAGCCGGTCACTGCTGTTCTGGGGCTGGCCTGGGGCTGGCCGCGTCTGCAGCTCCAGGCTGCTTCTGTCACCTGGGGCCCATTTCTGTTTGCTCAGTGGTCTGTGTGGCAGCTTTTTCCAAGGTGTTTTGTTTGGGGAGGCGGGGAGGCCGCGTGGCGTGGTTCCTGCCTTCGTTTGCTGTCGCCAGCAGCCCCTAATGGAGCTGAAGCTCCACGGTCAGCACCTGCCACTCTGGTGCTTTTAGGCCAGGCCACCTGTTGCAGGCATTCATTTCTGTCCTAAACTCAGGAAATTGCCCAGGCAGCCCTAGCTTCTCTGCAGCTGCCAGCAGGGAAGGATGGCTGAGCCCACATCCACATCTGGGTGAGGGTCTGAAGGCTACAGGCTGGCATGTGCCCTTCTGCATTGATTTAAGTAGTTCTCAGTTGGGAGCAGGGCATAGGGTGATGGGGTTATTAGGAGGTACTTAATGCCTGGGTATTTATTTATTTTGACAGGGGCTCATGTAGCCCAGGCTAGCCTAAGACTCGTGTAGTGAGGAACTTCTGATCCTTTTGCTTCTACGCACCAAACACTAGGATGAGAGGTGTGAACCTCTGTGCCTGGTTTATAGGGTGCTGGAGATACAGCCCTGGACCTCATGCTTGCTAGGCCGCTCCCAGGCATGGTGGTTGTTTTCCACTGAGTGTCCTTTTACAGTATAGCGTTGCTTATTACAGTGTATGTCATAGTAACAGTGATTAAAAAAGGAGAAAGTGGGCATGGTGCTGTGCACCTTAGCTTTCAGGAAGTGGAGGCAGGAGAATGCTGCAAGTTCTGGTTCAGCCCAGGCTGTGGGATGAGACCCTGTCTGAAAAACTGAAGTAACTCAGTGTATCATGGCGCCTTTAAGCCCAGCAGTCAGGAAGCAGAGGCAGGCAGGCAGTCTTTATAAGTTCAAGGCCAGTCTGGCTTGCACAGTTACACAGTGACATCCTATCTCTAAAACAAGCAAAAGGCTGGGGAGACGGCTCAGTGGGTGGAGTGCTTACTGTGTAAGTATGAAGATTCGAGTTTGGATCTCCAGCGCCCATGTAAAGCTCTGCTCCACAGTACAGTCTATAACTCAGTGCCCACAACAGCGGAAGAGCCAGGTGTTGGGTGCTGTCGGCTAGTCAGTCTAACAGACACCATTGTCTCTAGGTCCATTCAGAGACCTTGTCTTGGATAATAGAGGAAGACACCTGAGGTCAGCCACTGGTTTCCACACTCACACAACTGCACTCCACACACACCGCATCCCATACACACTGAACTGTGCACAGCACACATCCATGCCACACGCTGCACTCCACACACACACACACACACCGTACTCCACACACACTGAACTGTGCACGGCACACATCCATGCCACACGCTGAATTCCACGCACACACACACACCGCATCCCCCACCCCCCACACACACCGCATTCCACACACACATTTGACATACACATTTTCCACACACTATACACACTACACATACACACCTCACATGCACACATATCACACACACTACATCCTCCAGGTATACCACATAGACATAGATATACTGCATTCTACCCATACCATACATTACCCCACACACAGTATACTCATACATACCACACATACAACATTATACACACACACACTGTCTGAGGCTTACCATTGCTGTGGGGAACAAAGCAGCTTGGGGAGGAAAGGGTTAATTTGGCCCCTACTTCCATATCACTGTTCATTGTAGGTGGGAGTTTCTGTTCTGCCTGTTTCCACTGCCAGTCAGCCCCAAATAAACACACAGAGGCTTCTATTAGTTATGAACTGTTGGCTGATGGCTCAGGCTTTTTACTGGGTAGCTCTCTCTTAATTATTAACCTATAACTACTATTCTATGTATTTTTACATGATTTTATCTTACCAGAGAACTTCCGGCGTCCTGTCTTCCCAACAGCTACATGGTGTCTCCTTGGGCTTCTCTCTGTCTCCTCTCCCCAGAATTCTCCTCATCTGGTAGCCCCGCCTATATTTCCTCCTTGGCTCCTGGCCACTCGGTGTTTTATTCATCAACCAATAAAGGAAACATCGATACACAAGGACATCCCCATCACCTCATCAAAGGAAGTCAGGGCAGGAACCTGAGGCAGGAGCTGGTGCAGAGGCCATGGAGGGGGCTGCTTACTGGCTTGCTGTCATGGCTTGCTCAGCCTGCTTTCTTTGTGTGCACATGTCTGTGTCTGTGTCTGTCTGTCTGTCTATCTGGAGATCTCAGCTCAGGGATGTCACCACCCCCATCAGTCACTAATTTAGAAAATGCCCTGCAGGCTTGCCTACAGCCTGATCCTGGAGGCCTTTCCTCAGTTGAGGCTCCCTCGTCTCTGATGACTCGAGCTTGTGTCAGGTAGACATAAACCAGCCAATATATACACTATATATACTACATTCCATACACATCACACACTCCATTCCATATACCATAAACACACTTCACACACACACACCATACAGAGTTCACTTACACATGTACACCACAAACAACAAAAAACCAGAAGAAAATAAAAACCAGATAAATTTAGAGCCTGTGAGGGTTCACTGGGTAGAGGCACTTGACACCAAGCTTGGCTACCTGAGTTTAACATTCAGTATCCACAAGGTGGAAGGGGGAGGGGACCAGTTCCTGAAAGTTGTCCTCTGACTGAAAGTGGCATGTGCGCTTGTGAGAGAGAGCGCGCGCGCACACACACACACACACACACACACACACACACACACACACACACACACACACACACACACACGTCTAATAAAGAACAAAATAACAAGGATTGAAGGGAGCAGCCCCCTGGGAGGCCCAGTGTAGCTCTGAGGCTTGCTTGTACGTGGGACGGTCTAGGGTGTCCCTGGTAGGGAAGGCTCTAAAACAGTGAGTGTCCTCTGGAGGCGCGAGGACTCCAGTGCTGAGATGGCGAAGGAGGCCAGCCTCCTGCTGCACTGAGGCCTGGGTCTTCCTGGGAGAAACACTGGCCGACACAGGCAGCTTGGCTGGGTCTGTGGTGAGGCCCTAATGCCTTTGGAGATGCAGTGGAACCTGCCTCAGGTGGCCATGCTGGGGACACATGGGATCCAGCCTGTGGCTGCGAGTGGGGTCAACAGGTAAAGTGACGGAAGTCACTGGGTCAGTGTGGCCCTGTTCCCACATGAGACCCGCCAGGCAGAAGCCTTTTCCCACTCTTGGCAAGTACTTAGTGACCCTCCCAAGGTCACTGAACACTCAGCCTTTAGGCAGGGAATCTGGAAGCCATTGCCACAGACAATGGCCCCAGGAGCATCTGTGTCCTTCCTGGCCACCTCTCTAGGGTGGCCACTAGAGGTGACGCCATTGATGGGCAGAGAGGTAGGGGGGCCTTTTTCTGATAATCCTCTGGCTGTGGATTAGTGTGGGCACCCTGTTTGCAGGGGACAGAGCCACACTCACAGAGGTAAAGAACCTACCAGGCTGAGGGTGCCGCTCAGTGGGTAGAGTGCTTGCTCCGGGTCTGTCCCCTGTACCGCATAAATTAAGCAGGTGTGGTGCTACATGTGTGTAAACTCAGCACCAGGGAGGTGGAGGCAGGGGGATCAGAAAACCATGGTCAGCCTCAGCTACACAGAGAATTGGAGCTACACGAGTCCCTGTGTCCCCCAGAAGGGCTCCAGAACCTGCCTACCCTTCCTCTCACTGTGTCCTGGGGCTTGTTTTCCAGGTGACAATGCCCGGTGAGCCTGTGGATGTGGCATGTGGTGTGGATCACATGGTAACTCTGGCCAAGTCATTCATCTGAATCTCTTTCCGGGCCCATCCCAGGCTGGCCCCAGCCTCCCACCGACAGCAACAGCTTGGCAGAGGCAGGGTGTGGCCACCAGTGGAGCTTCGGATGATACCGGGAGAGGGCCAGGGCCCCTTGGAGCAGGGTGCTTACTCTCTTCCTCTGGGCACATTATAATAGGAGTCTGTGGACAAGAACTCTCCCTGCTGAGGCTCCTGGCTGCGAACTCAGTTCAGGATGGTTGCTCTTGGCTCGGTGTGGTCCTGAGGAGTACCAGGGAGTACCAGCACATGAGGGCCTAGGATGGCCAGGCTGATGCCCTTTCCAGGTAACACACGGTGGCCTTTGGGAATGCATCTTGCCTGAGACACTGTTTCTAGGGGAAGTTCATTATTCATGGCACATTTGATATTAAGAGATTGGAGACATGACAAGGCTCTCAGGACAACTTTTAGTCTCCTGTCACAACAGAACACACTTGGGCCTCTTTGCTGACCCAGCTCAGCAAGACAGCCAGCTAACCTCAGCTGGGGCCTCTCTGATCAGCTGCCACCCCGCAAGTTCCCCGGACGGTCTGGGAGCCCAGAATGCCTTGGCTTGAGACTTCATGGGGCGGCCAGTGTGAGCCAACCTCCCCCCATGGTCTACAGCATCCCAGCCTTGGAACCTCCTCCATGCCTGGCTTTGAACAGCCTGAAGTCCCTGAAGAAAATCTGTAGGCCAAATGCTTGTGGGCTGAGGGCTGCGGAATCTTGGCTGGAGGGCCAGCCTTGGAGCAGGAAGCCTCAGAAACTGGGAAAATACTTGTTTTTAAGAAAGCTTGTGTTTTCCTTTCAGAATAGTGTTTGAAAGTTCTTTTGGAATAAAGTCTATTTCTGCCTTTTTTAAGAATGGAGGTCTTGTAAATGTTTCACTCGATCATTTTGTACCATAAAAGCAGCAAATAGAAGCCAGTGTAAGACACTTTGGAAGGCTACCCCACCTGGGATGTGTGTGCGTGTGCAGTTGCATGTGTGCCTGTGCACATGGGTGTGCATTCATGTAGAGGACAGAGGCCAGTGCCAAGTGTCATCATTCCTCAGGTGCTACTCATCCTAATATTGAGACCTTGGACTCGGAGTTCTGCTCGCCTCTGCCTCCAGAGGGCTGGGACTAAAGGCGTGCTCCATTACACCCAGCTCCTCCTCATGTTTGGACACGGGATCTTCCAGCCTGAAGGATTCCAAGAAGGTGCTGGCTGGCTGGAGAGCCCCAGGGATCCTCCTGTTTCTGTTTCCTCAGTGTCGGGATTACAGGCATGTGACACTGTGCTTGCCTTTTACATGGGTTCTGGAGATTGGACTGAGATCATCAAGCACTTAACCCACTGAGTCATCTCCCTCGCCATTGGAAAGTATTATCTGAACAGACAGATTCTTCAGCTGGGAAGGTAGCTGGTGCCTGAGTCACTGATTATGATCTCCCACACTGCCTGTACACCCCACCCGTTACCTGTTCACTCCACAGGTCCTTGCGGGGCCCCTTAAGTGCAGGCATGAGGCACACTGAGTCATGCTTTGTGCAGCTAACACTTGGGGAGGGAAGAGGACGTTGTACAGGATATACGGTATGGTAGCTGCTTGTATGGGCTGTGGAGAAAAGCAAAGCGTTGCTCCAGGTACCTGATAGCAACAACTTAGAGGAGGATTCAATTGACTCTCAGTTCAGAGGGTTCCAATCCAGCATGGCAGAGAGGGCTCAGGAATTTCTGGGGCTGGGCTTGCACCTTGAAGGACCCCACCCCCTACCCCTGCGACCTGCTTCTGTGGTCCAGGCCCCACCTCCTTTAAAAGGTTCTGGTCTTCCAGAACAGTGCCACCCATTGTGGAGCACACCTTCAACACAGGAACCCAGGGTGGACATTTCAGATTAAAACCTTAACATGGAGAAAACTTAACAAGGAAACAGGATGCGTTGGAAGGCTGCCGGTTAAAGCTGAGGGGTCCACAAGCTGGATGTCATGGGAGCCAGCTCACTGGCGTTGGAGCAAATGGCTGTTTTGGCGGTCACAGAGCCCCTCACCCAGGCCTATGTTGCCCCTGATTCTGTAAGGGCCAGTGTTAGGCTTGAGATAGGAAAATTTGCTGTGAACTTGAAATAGAAGGTGAGAAGCTGAAGAGTTGGGTTTTTTATTTTTTGGTTTTTCGAGACAGGGTTTCTCTGTATTGTTTTGGAGGCTGTCCTGGAACTCACTCTGTATACCAGGCTGGCCTCGAACTCGCAGAGATCCACCTGCCTCTGCCTCCCGAGTGCTGGGGTTAAAGGTGTGCACCACCAGCGCCCGGCTTAAGCTGAAGAGAGGTCCCGAGTTCAATTCTCACATCAGGCAGTTCACAAAAGCCTGTAACTCTAGCTCCAGGGGATCTGACATCCTTTTTTGGCCCCCCAAAGCATCTGTATGCATGTGTACAAACATGCTCCCATCACCACATGTAATTAAAATTTTTTTAATGTTAAAAAGTCCTTAGAAAAACAAAGGGGCCAAGAATGTAGCTCTGGTGGGGCCTTTGGTTGTAGTATCCACGAAGTCCTGGGTCCGGTTCCCAGCACTTCATGAACAGAATTTGGTGGCACATTGCAGTGACTGGCAGCGGCAGACGTGGAGGCAGGAGGACCAGAAGCACAGGGTCGTCCTTGGCTACACATTGAGTTTGAGGCCAGCCTGGGATACACGAGACCCTGTCCCAGTGCACTGAAAAGCAAAACACAAAAACATCACCGTGACCTTAGTCGCCTCTGTACAAAAGGGGCGTCCTTGTCCTTATCCTTGAGTTTTCTTTTTCAAGACGGTTTCTCTGTATTGTTTTAAAGGCTGTCCTGGAACTCACTCTGTATACCAGGCTGGCCTCGAACTCGCAGAGATCCGCCTGCCTCTGCCCCGAGTGCTGGGGTTAAAGGTGTGCGCCACCACCGCCCGGCCCATCCTTGAGTTCTCTTAAAGCCAGTTTTACCTGTTGGGTCAGCCTGGCCATGCAGCATCTGTCCTCTTGGCTTCTGCTCAGCTGCCATCTGTGCTTGGTGTTAGTGTTTGTCTCTTTGGTCCTTACCCTCCCTCCCCGGCACCTGACACCTGGAAAAACCACTAAAGCCATTATCTTGGTTGCTCATTCTGTTCCGGTGAAAGGTTTACATATGACTTGTCCTCTTGCTTTAGTGAGCATGTGAATGATACCCTAGGCGAAGAACAGTCACCTGCCTCTTCCCAGGTGTCTATGCACCATCTTTGTGTAATGGCCAGAAGGTGACATAAAACCTCCTGGAGCCAGAGCTGTAGAAAATTGTGAGCTATGAATTGCTAGGAACTGAACCTGTCTCATATGCAATGGCAAGGGCTCTTTAACCACTAAACCATCTTCCCAGACACCTCTTAAATTAAAAAAAAATGCATTTTTGTCAGGTGTTGGTGACACACACCTTTAATCCCAGCACTCAGGAGGAGGCCAGCCTGCCTGGTTTACAGAGTCCTAGGACAGGCTCCAAAGCAATACAGAGAAACCCTGTCTCAAAAAAAAAAAACCAAAAAAAATAGTTTTGAAGATTTTTATATGTGTATTTGTATGTATGTATGTGTACCACATGTGTGCAGTACTCACAGAGGCCAGAAGAGGGCATCAGATCTGGAACTGCAGTACAGATGGTTGTGGGCCATTGTGTGGGTATTGGGGGCTGACTGGATTGAGAGATGTCTAGGTTTGCAAACATTCCTGTCTGTTTCTGTGATGACAAGTCCATGGCTCGATGGACTTACCATTTGTTGGCATGACTGGGAGGTGGCGTAAGGTAGGAGGTGGTACTTGACTGAAGGAAGATGTGAGAACCTGCCCTGGCCTTTCCCTGTGTCCCCATCTCTGCTTCGGAGTCTACAAGTTCCCGTTGTCATGGCGTTGTACCTCACACAGGCTCGAGATCACATTCCGGGCCCCACTCCCTGGCCCCGCCCCCCGGCCCCACCCCAACCTTGAGCTGGGACACATCATTCTTCCTTTTAGCATTGTATGTCTGTGTACCATATGGGTACCCAGTGCCTGCAGAGGCCAGAAGAGGGTGTCAGGTCCCCTGGAACTGGAGTCACAGATGGTTGTGAGCCACCACATGGGTGCTGGGAGTCAAACCCAGATTCTCTGGGAGAGAGCATCAGCCAGTGCTCTTAACCACCAGCGAGTCACCTCTCCAGTCCCTTCTTTTATTTATTTATTTATTTATATTTTAAAATTTAAATTAGAAACAAGGTTGTTTCACATGTCAAATCCAGGTCCCTCTCCCTTTCCCTGCCCTCCTCCCGGGCCCTCCCACCAATCCCCCCAATCCCCCTCACTTCCCCAGGGAGGGTGAGGTCCTCCATGGGGGTGTCCATAGTCTGTCATTTTATCCAGGGCAGGGCCCAGACCCTCCCCCAAGAGTTCAGGGTGAAAGTGCATCTCACATTGTTGGATGGGCACCCAAAGTCAATTTGTATACCCGGGATAAATACTGATCTACTACCCAAGGCCCAATAGATTACCTAGGCCTCCTCACTGACACCCACGTTCAGGGAGTCTTGATCAGTCCCATGCTGGGATTCAAGGGCTAACCCTTGTCAGGCCAGCTGTTTCTGGGGGTTAAACCAGCCCAGTCTTTACCCCTTCGCTCATCAGTCCTCCCTCTCTGTCACTAGATTCCTTGAGTCCAGCTCAGTGTTTAACTTTGGGAGTCTGCCTCTTCTTCGATCAGCCATTGAATGAAAGTTCTGTTCCCCAGACTCTCTGGCCATGGGATTGTAGGCTGGCACTCCCCAGATCTATGTCTAAACTCCATACATGAGAGAGTACATGCCATGTTTCTCTCTTTGTGACTGGGTTACCTCACTCAGGATGGTTTCTTCTAGTGTCATCCATTTGCCTGCAAATTTCAGGATTCAAGTCCCTTCTTTTTTGAGACAAGGTTTCACCATGTGTTTCTGGGGTAGCCTGGAAACCCTGCACCTTCCTGCCTGATACAGATATGTATCATTCAAAGCCACTGTTTTGGGGGCAACTTATTACACAGCATCAGGTAACTGACACAAACCTCCTCACTTGTGGCAGTTTTTGAGACTCCAGGTGTTACACCTGAGGGGTTATTCCGCCTCCTCTAGCCCATGACCTATGTTCTCCAAACAATACGGAAAAGACGGGAGAAAAGAGACATGATCCTGGGTAAATCAACACAAAACCAGACAACTGTCAGCCAACACTTATCTTTTTTTCCCCTTCATTTAATGAACACTTTACAAAGTACAAAATATACTGTCTTTTTTAGGGGGAACATTAGGTACTTTTTTTCTCTCTCCATCATACAGTACACAACTCCGAAGGGTTTTTTTTCTTTGACAAAACGAAAGCATGAAGGCCCCGGAGGTGGGGAGAGTAGGACCCCAGTCCTCCCCTCACCCAAGCTGCAGGACCGATGAAGTACCACTGTTGCTGGTGACCTGGGCACAGCATGCCAGGTGAGGGTCAGCTGGGGCTGTGGGCAGGGCAGGGTCCCTTAAACACCACACAGGCACCCACACCTGCTCCCCTGCCTCAGGATAACGGAAATGATTTTGGCATACAAGAGGAGGGTTAGAACTACGGTTGAACGTCCATCTCCCTGTTTATTGTCCGGGGGCTGACCCTGCTCTAACTTCCTGCGATACAGGTAAACTGAGGCAGTACAAAGGGAAACCGTGCTAGGCTCTGCCCGTGTAGACTTGAATCCCGCCCATAGCTGGGGACTCTAGCTTTGTGGACCCCTTCCCAAGATGAGTTTCTGGTAAGCAAGGGGCTCCTCTTGTCTCCAGTCCCTCTCCCTACTAATACTGTCTGCAAAACTGAAATGTCTGGAGAGTCCCATGGGGGGCCTGGGCCAGCTCAGGCTGCCTGCATGGACTCCCTCTGAGGGCAGTCTTTCCTGGGAATGCAGAGAAGAGGGAAAGGAGACTATCCCATCAGGGCAACCCCACGTTCCACCTCAGAGCCAGGGCCTGCAGCCGCCCCACCCCCAAACCTGGTGAACTGTATGCGGCAGTGGGTTAGGCTGAGGGGGCCAAACACTGCATGAAAACAGCTTGTAGCTCTGAGACAGTCTCTGCACATGTGTGCACACACTCATGCCTAATACATGTACACACACACACACACACACACACACACACGCGCGCAAGCACGTAAATACAACCACACAGAACACCACCCTGACAGGGCCACCCTGCACTTTGGGCTTTCCCAGCTTCCCTGTCCTTCTACGAAGTGCCACAAAACGCCTCCAAACCGATGCTCACAAGCGCCACGGCCTTGCCTGGTGCCTTCCGGGGCCCCCCCTCCCCCAGCTGAGCAGCTTTCTGAGGGGGTGCTGGAGGTCACCCTGGGATCAGTTAAACGTGTCCTTTTGCTGCTTCAGATTAGGGAACGGACATGAACCAGAAAGCGGAGATGCATGAAGAGGTTAGGTCTGTTAAGTTAGCTCTGCTCTTCCACGGCGGCCACATACCACGAAGCGAGGCTGACCGGCTGTTGGCCACCTCGGCCCCACTTCCTTCCTGGATGTCAAAATGGAGGTCTGCCGCCCTTCCAGACTATATTCCCATCTTCAGGACGATGCCCATCACCTGGAAACTCAAAGCTATATCCCATCCCTGTTGGTGAGTCCTGCCCCCAGTCCTTGCCCGTCCAGGCTCCCCTCGCCAAGCCCATCTACGGTTCCCAATTCTGATCACAGATGCTTAATAGTCATCTCGACAGGATCTAGAACCACCTAGAAGACAAACCTCTGCTTAAGTCTGTCAGGGAGACTGGATTAATGGAGGTGGGAAAACCTAACCCTGAATGCGGGCCGCACTGGACTGAATACAAAGGAGAAAGAGCTGAGCCCCAGCATCCGTCTGACCGTGGGCGCCACGGGACCTACCGGCTGGCCGCCTCACGCTCCTGCCGCTGTGATGGACCGGACCGTAACCCTGTCAAAACAGACCCTTCCTTCTGCTCCCTTTGTCAGAGTTGCCATAGCCACAAAGAGCCTGTGTTGTCCCCTATCCAAGCCAGAGGCTCTGGTGTGTGCCTGGGGATTTTTAAAGGGTTAGCCTGGGAACGTGGCTGGGAGGGGCTGGTAGCACGGGGCTTCAGCTCTTTGACGATCATGAACCTTACAAAGGGGTGCGCTGGCCATGCACAGGAGCTTGCTGCTTCCCACCTGCCTGCCTGTCTTTTGACTTCCACAGTTTCTTCTCAAAGGTGCAGGGGAACCAGCTCGCCAGCCTGAGCAGGTTGCTTCCACACCACCGCCAGACTGGCAGCAGACTGAACCAGGCCCCGAGACCCCACCCATCACAAGAGGAACCTGTGGTCTGTGGCTGGTGGGCGAGGTGTGTGTGTGTGCAGTCTTTAGAGACCCTGTGGAAGAGGGGAGTATATAGTTAGCAGTGCTGTTGGGAGTCTGGGGGAGAAATAGTTCCAGGCTGTGGGACTGAGCCATCAATGGGACACCGGATAGTTTCTTTAGTCTGTAGTGGACAGGTAGTCAAAAAGGTACAGGTGATATTTGACTTTTTTTTTGAGATAGGGTCTAACGCAGCCCAGGCTGGCCTGAACTTGTGATCTGTCTGCTTTGGTCTCCCAAGTGCTGGGAACCGGACCCAGGGCTTCAAGCATGCTAGGTGAACACACTATCACACTATCCCCTGAGCCATACCCCACTGTGAGCTTTTCCAATTAGACTTTCAGGCAGACACAGAGCGCTGGAGTCCATCACTCGGCAGCCCTGCCCAGGGCACCTGTGATTCCTGGCCCTTTACCTTCTGAACACCCCCAGGCTCCTACCATGGAGAACTTGAATGCACAAGGCCCGGCTTACAGTCCTCAACAGCACAGAAAAATACAAAGTCCCCTAGAGAACCCTGACTGCTGACTGGCATGCCGCTTAGGTCACCTCTGAGGCTGGCTCAGCAGGGGCCGGAGTGACCCCCACCCCCACATTCATAAAACCAGGAGATGCCCAAAAGTAGAGAGACAGCACTAAAAACACAAGAGTAGAGGCTCTCAATGGGACTGTCACATCCCCCAGAGCTGTAGACTATGTCATGTCAACGCTACCCACAGAACGCAGAGAGCCAGCTTACTCATAAGGACCCAGTAGCTAAATAATGGGGTCCTTGAGAGACTGGCAGGCAGAACCCAGGGCCCAGCTCCTCTCCTGGCGCACAGCTGGGGTGATGTGTTTTGGGTTCTATGGAGTCAGCTTTAGGAAGAGAGCAGGGGAGAGAACCTGAGATTCCTAAACTAGCAGGAATTAAGGGAGAAAAAAAATCAGCCATGTGTTGGTGGCGCACACCTTTGATCCCAGCACTCAGGAGGCAGAGGCAGGCAGATCTCTATAAATTCAAGGCCAACCTGGTCTACACAGGGGGTTCCAGGACAGCCAGGGCTATATAAAAAGACCCTGTCTCAAGAAAACAAGTAATACACACAACCATAAATCAGGTAAGATGCCAGACCTACAGCTTTCTATCGAGAAGGGACTCTGGGCGGGAGGCTAGAACACAATGGGTTTACCAGACAGTTTTTGGAGTAACCCTGAGGGAGGGAGCCACTGATAAAATGCAAAAATCCCAATCCCTCTCCTGGACCAATATCCCCCCAAATAAAGTAAGAGCATGGGGTGCAGTAGCAATAAAGTAGACCACGCTGGCCCCCTAAGCCTGTTCTAGATGCAGTAGGCTGGTGGCTTTGTCTCCCCCTCAGGCTGGCCTCAAGGACCCCAGGGCTTTTCCGATCACTGTATTGCCTACATATTCAAATTAAAAATATACGGTGGCTCAAATGTCCCTGTGTGTGCGCACGTGAGGTGAGGCCCTTGCCTATGTCCTGCGCACACGGAATATATTAACATATATATTGCTCAAGTATATATGCTATTTACAGAATATATCTCTATTGACATAAAACATGTATTTATAGGTGTGTACAATACACAGTTTCATCCTAGCAAGTCTAGGGGGTGGGGCACACAATTCTGGGGCAGGGGCATGGGCCAGCACACTTACACAGTGGGAAGGGGCAACTGGAAGGGGAGACCGGAGGGGTGACCGAGAGGCGCGCCCTGGACAATCAAGGCCTTCCAGGGTGAGAAGAAGGGGACTCGGGCCTCACTATGGCCCTGCCTACTTGGCCATTTCCCTTCTGGGACCAGAAAACAATTGATAAGATTTGGTTGTTTTGTGCAAAAGGAATTTAAAAAAACAAACCCAAACCCCACCAGAGGTAATTTTGATTAGCATGCTAGGTTGTGAGCTTCTACAGGGTTCTAGAATAGATAGATCCTCCATCTGGGTTTGCTTCTGTGGCCCGGAGAAGGGAGGAACACAGTTCGTATTGAGACCCGTGCAGGGGTAAACAAACATTCTCCTCTCCGGCTTTGCTGGAGACGGCCTAATACAGGCCCGAGAAAACACCCCAATGCCTAAGTCTGCTGGACCCCATAGTCCCAGCTCAGGGTAACCCTCTCAGGTGTTCTCACCACCTCTGATATGCCGGGGTGCCCCGCAGGGGGTGCTGTGGGGGTCCTGGTGTCTTGTGCCAGAGCTTTGTCCTAATACCCCTCCTCAGAAGACAAGGCCAAGATTCTTAGGATACATCTTTGCATCCGTGTCTGTCCCTGTAGAAACGCCGTGCTGCTGAGTGCCACTGAACCCTGGGCACCCAAATGAGACTCTAACAGGCCCCATCTCCTCCAAACAGAACTACTCATTCCCTAGCCACCTGTATGCAAACAACTAAATAAAGAAACCGCAAGGGTGACTTTTTTTTTCTCTACAAATGCTCAAGATAGCTGCCTCCCGGTTGTCCCCAAGGCCACGGACTGCTGGGTGCATTTTAGGCAGGGGGCCGAGGCCGCTTTGTCCCCTAAAAGTGGGGTACAGAGGATGAAGAAGGAAACTCTAGGCTGGTCTGAGTGACAGCTAGGGAGGTGGACAGGGCCCAGGGCACTCCAGGCCTGGGCACGTGGGGATATCCATTGCTGGGAGTTTCGGTTTGCCCACGTGGGCCCAGGGAGAGCGAACAGAGGACAGATAGAAGCTGGTGCTCTAGGCTGGTGGGAAAGGAGGCATCATGGGATTCCTTCCTCCTCCAGGGACGAGTGCTCTTGGTGGGAGGTTGGCCCAGGACCCCTCTTGGCAGTCATAGTGGGAACTGACACAGGCCCTGTGTGGGCAGCAGGTGGGTTCTGGGGTCTTGATTTTTTTCCCCCCAGCTTGGTGGTAGGGGGCCCACGGCTACTGTCTGAGGCTCACTGGCCATTATGACCTGAGGGTGGTCTGCTGGCCTCCATCCTGAGGGAACCAGCCCCTAAGCCTCTGAAACTGGAGCAGCAACCATACCATTCATCCTGGGGGGTTCCTCATGGGGGCTTCCCCGGCTTTGCACACCCAATTTTGCTCCGCCAACTGAAGGTGTCCCTCGGTGCTTCGGGACCCCAATCCCAATGTCTAGTGGGAGGTGCCAGCTTCCTTTGGTGTTTGCTGTGGGCTATATGTGAGGCCTTGGGCTGTTCCCGAGCCCCCTGGGCCTCAGAGACCACTCTCTGGGGTGGAACTTGGGGGAGGAAGATGGACACATCCCCACTGGGGAGCAACTGAGTCATTATTGAAAAGGCTGGGGGTTCTGGAAGGCTGGAGGTGGATGTGGGGGTGGCCTTGGTTTGGGCCCAGGCCTGGAGAAGTCAGGAATCAGGGGATTGTCCCAGAGACTCCTTCCTTAGGGTCCCGGGGCCGATCTTTCAGTCCATAGGGAAATACTGCAAGAATAACCTTCGTGGGGGAAAGGCCCAGGTGGGTTGCGGCTGGGAGGAGCCCAGAGATGAGCTTTTTCTAATGTTTCCCTCCTTGACTGACCTTCAGGGCGTGGATAACCCCATTGATGTTCTCTTCTGGAACCTAGAGGTCAGGAAGCAAAAAACAAAAGTGCATTAGCTCGGGAACCTGTTCTTACCTGCGCAGTCAGTCCGTGACTGTTTCTAGGGCTACTCACCAATGCATGGTCGAACTTGAAAGTACTGATGTAATACGCTGGGATGTCTGCAGCTGCCAAGGGCTCAGAGATCTGGGCTACAATCCCACACTCGTCTAGAGAAACACAGGTGCTTAGAGCCTAAGCAGGTGCTCTACCACTGAGCCACACCCCAGCCCCTCACTGGGGGATTCTAGGCAGGTGCTCTACCACTGAGTCACACCCCAGTCCCTCACTGGGGGATTCTAGGCAGGTGCTCTACCACTGAGCCACACCCTCAGCCCCAATGCCCTTTGGTAAGGTTCACTCATTGGTCTCCTGAGGCCTTCATATACCTTCACACCATGGGCAAGAGATCTGTCAGAAAGAGGGCTTCAGCCTCTGTTAGCATCAGTCTCCCTGTTTAGATCACCGCATAGGTGGAGCTGGCTAAGCACCCCAGGACTGCCTGCGTGGATCCCCGCACACTGGTGTTGGACCCCAGGGGCTCACCGAATCCCAGGGGTTGTCCTCCTATCCGCACCATCTTCCAGAGCTCTCCAGATGCACTCGTGAATAGCAAGTGACTCGGGAACCTTCGGAGGAAGTTAAGTAAGAGGAGGTCTGAGGCCGGTGCCAACCGTTGCTCCCCCAGCTCTGGGGAACCTTCTCTGCTCTGAGGGGGGCACTGTAGGGCCACAGTGACGGTGGCTGTCCCTCAGGCAGGACAGAATGCAGGATCCAAGGACATGCCAGTGCCACTGGGGGCAAGGGGGGCAGTGCTGGGGTGGGGCCCTGGGGACGGCTGGCCCTGAGACTATGGTTCACATCTCCACTTGTGGCTAACCCCTGCACCTACAGGAGCATCTCTAAGGAAGGGAGCAGGGCAGACTGACTAGGGAGGAAGTCCACCCAGGCCCCTTGATACCCACCCGGGCCCTGCCCACCTCTGCTGGGTCTGCACATCCATCACCAGGGAGATGTAGCCCTCGATGAGCGAGAAGGAGAAGAAGCGGATGTGACCACAGTCGTCACTGGCAGCCATGGGGTCCTTCACTCTGGGGACCGAGAGGAAGTTGTGAGGGCGAGGCTGCTGCCGCACCCTCCACGCTGTCTGCCGCCCACCGGGCCGTCCTGCCTGGTGTCTTGCTTTCATCCTTAAAAGCCCATGACTCAGGAAGTCACAGACCCCGAATGCTACATTCCTGACCTGCCGGGTTAAGATGTGACCTCCGGCGCCATAGGGGCACGATGGTACCTGGGGTAATCAAACCACTCCCTGCTCGCATCTAGAACCCGCTTCACGGGAGGAGATTCATGTTTGCATGGCTACGTTTGTGCGTACCATAAACCTGGTCAAAAGCCTATACGGCTTCAGGGGTCACAGGCCTTAGTGAAAAACCTATTATTCTGTCTCCTAGACATTTATACTCAGAGTCATGGGTCAGTCCCGCTCCAACCACAGCCAGGAAGGCTTCTTTCTCCATCAGGGGGCAGCTAACGTATAGACTTACCTGGTCAAAGCGCTGACAGTGACTGTTGACCCCGCCACCAAGGTTGAAAACCATGAGAGGGAGGGAAGGATGTAAGAACTAGCTAATAGGCACACATATGTCTTCCCCTTGCGTCTGTGTTCTTGGGGAGAACAATACCTTGCTCCTCAGATTGGGCCCTATACTGACTAGTTTTATGTCAACTGACACAACCTAGAGTCATCAGAGAGGAAGGAGCCTGCACGAAATTCAGCTGTAGGACACGTTCTTAGTTAGTGATCAACGGGGGAGGGTCCCGCCCATCCAGCCCTTGGTGGGCGGTGTCATCCCCGGGCTGGTGGTCCTGGGTTGTGTAAGAGAGCAGGCTGAGCAAGCCACGGGAAACAAGCCAGTGAGCAGCATCCTCCATGGCCTCTGCCTTCTGCCTCCAGGACCCCGCCCTGCTTGAGTTCCTGTCCTGACTTCCTTCAGTGATGAACAGCAGTGCTGAAGTGTAAGCCAAATAAACCCTTTCCTCTCCGTCAGCGGCAACAGAAACCTTAAGTAAGACAGGCTCCTAGATGGAACCTCACCTCTTCCCTTAGACTTGTTTCTAGGGCAGATCTGTGACTAGGCTCCTGGGTGGAGATGTGCCTCCTCCTTCAGACTGGACTTATGGATATTCTCTTCCTTCACACTGAGCTCCTGGGTAGAATAAGGTCTGTACCGTCGTCAGTCAGGGCTCCTGTGACAGAGTGGCATCCCCACGTCACTCACCCCGGGGACCTACCCATTGGAGTAGAACATCACATCCATGAGGAGTGTGGCGACGGCAGGCAGTGTGTCTGGGTCCAGGCTGGTGACACAGAACCTGTTGCTCGGGCTGGACAACGGGTGGATGACGGGTCTCTTGACTGGAAGAGCGTAGGACATAAGTATTAAGGCCAGGGTAGAGCCAGGTGGTGGTGGCACTCGGGAGGCAGAGGCAGGAGGGTCTCTGTGAGTTCAAGGCCAGCCTGGTCTACAGAGCGAGCTCCAGGACAGCCAAGGCTACACAGAGAGACCCTGTCTCGGAAAACAAAACAGAGCAACAGTAAAAGGCCGGATGGAGGGTGCTTTTGTGTGCAGGGGTTGAGCCAAGCCTCAGACTTTGCTCAAGCCCGTGTGGCTTTCTGACCGCCATCACAAACTGCACTGATTCTTACACTTCCCTTCAGGACCCTGGGCCTCTGTATAAGCTGCTCGGCTACTGAGAAAAGTCCTCCCCAACTGTCACCATCTGGCTGAGCTCCCAGTGCTCCATTGTAGACACCCTGACCATGAGCCGGGCTGAGACGGGAGTCATCTCTGGCCACGGCTGGCTGCTCCACCTGGATTCCAGTGGTCTGAGAGTCGGGCTTTCTGCTGGGCATATTCCCCTTACTCCCGACTCACCCATCTTGGGCTTCACAAAGCCATTGGTGATGCTGAGATTCTCAGCGGCTACCGTTTCTCCATTGACAACCCGAAGGATGGTGAACTCCGAGGACAAGGTGTGAGTGACAAAGGGTAGGTCACGCTCGCGCACCTGAGGGCGAGAAGCAGGGTCCCTGAGTCCCGTCCCGCCTCCCGCGGCTGTGCACAGGGAGAGGTGAGGGGCAGAGCAGCAGCAGGGACAGGACAATGAGCGTGCTAGAAGCAGTGTGTGCATGCGTGTGTGAGTGTGCGCGCGCGTGTGTGAGTGTGAGTGTGTGTGGTGTGTGTGCGTGTGTGAGTGTGTGTATGTGAGTGTGTGTGTGTGTTACACAGGGAGGGCTGGGCTGGGCATGTGCGTAGCCAGTCTTTTATGGGAGTGTACACGCCACAGATGTGACTCACCAGGATGAAGTCAGTCTGATAGGTGGACAACATAAACACGGAGATGTTCTGGTCAGCCAGCGGGGCGATGACAGACTTGGCGATCTTTGTCACACCGATGGGCTGGGAGCTGGAGAAGCTGCCGCCACCAGACACCACGTTCAGAGCCAGCCAGGTGGCATCAGCCACACTCAGATGTTCGGAGGAGGGCAGTTCTGTGGGGGGGCGCAGGGGACACAGACGATGATGATGTTGGTGACTGCCTGGGGCCTGGGTGTTGCCAGGCCTGGCTGGGGAGGCAGGCAGAGGTATGTGGATTGGCCGAGGCCCTAGAGACTGTCTTGCCTGTTTCTAGGGCCTCAGTTTCCTCATTTAAAAATAGTCTTTAAACATTTTAAATGTTTTTCATCTTTTATTTTATGTGCATTGGTGTTTCACCTGCATTATATCTATGTGAAGGTGTTGGATTCCCAGGAACTGGAGTTACAGACAGTTGTGAGCTGCCATGTGGGTGCTGGGAATTGAACCTGGGCCCTCTGGAAGAGCAGAGCCATCTTTCCAGGCCCCTTAAAAATATTTTATTTATTTATGTGCATGTGCATGTTGTATGGGTATGTGCACATGAGTGCAATTGCTGAGGAGGCCAGAAGAGGGCGTTGGGTGCCCCTGGAGCTGGAGACCAAACTCAAGTCCTCTGCAAGAGTAAGTGTTTCTAACTGCTGAGTGATGGGGAATGCCCTTCTGTATCTATGTTTCTCTTATTGGTTGATTAATAAAACACTGATTGGTCAGTAGCCAGGCAGGAAGTATAGGTGGGGCTACCAGACTAGGAGAATGCTGGGAAGTGGAAGGCAGAGAGGAGCCGCCATGTAGCTACTGGGAAGTTAGGATGCTCGGCATTCTCCGGTAAGATAAGGCCATGTAGAAATACATAGATTAGTAGTTATGGGTTAATAATTAAGAGAGAGCTAACCAGTAAGGAGCCTAAGCCATCAGCCAACAGTTTATAATTAATAGAAGCCCCAGTGTGTTTATTTGGGACTAAACGGCTGTGGGACCGGGTGGGACAGAGACGCAATCTACAATTGAGTCATATCTCCAGCTCCCAATGTCCTCATTTAATCAACAGGAGGGCTCAAAGGTCCCTTCTAGGGAAGGCCGAGCAGGTGACATTCTGGGTGGCTGATGATATGCTGGGTATCTCAATGGGGCCTGAAGCACTCGCCAAGTTGTTTTTATCTGTGTCCAGCCTGTTCCCTCCCCTGTAGAGTTGGCAATACCTTCATGAACTCCTACTTTTTCTTTAGCAATATGTCCTTTGCTACTTTATTTCATGTGCATGTTGTCTTCAGGTTTGCCTGTGTATCTATCACACGTGCGTCTGATGTCGTGGAGGCCAGAGGTGGGTGTCAGGTTTGTTGGAGCTAGATTTAGAGATATTAACCAGCGTGTGGGTGCTGAGAATCAATACCCGGTCCTCTCAACCACTGAACCAGCTCTCCAGCCCCGAATTCCTACTTATTTAATGAAAAATTTAATTTGTTGCTAAAGATGCTATTTTTCTTGTCTTTATAAAATACAAAAAAACCCACCTTTATTTTTAATGTATATGGGTATTTTGCTTGCATGTCTGCTTATAAAATCACATTTGTACCTGTTGCTTTCGTAGGGGAGACTCCCCAAAGAGGGGAAATCTCATGGGGGCTGGAGTTAGTTACAGATGGGTGTGAGCTGCCGTGTGGGTGCTGGGAATGGAGCCCAGGTCCTCTGGAAGAGTAGCCAGTGCCTCTTAACTGCGAGTTCATTTGACCTTTAATTGTGTGTATGGGTGCCGTGTGCACGCACGTGCACATGTGAATACAGCAGCCCTTGACCGGAAAAGAAGGCATGTGATTCCCTGGAACTAGAGCTAGGAATGGCTATGAGCCACGCAATCTGGGTCCTGGGAACCTCTGCGAGAGCAGTGTGCGCTCTTAACTACTGGGCCATCTTTTGAGCCCCTTATTTATTATTATCGTGTGTGGACACGGTGTATCTGAGTGTGTGTGTATGCTCGGGTTGTGTAATGTGGAGGGTCAGAGGATGGCTGTGTAGGGTTGGCTTTCTCCTTCTGTCTTTACGTGACGCAACTCAGGTCACCAGGCCTGCACAGCAAGCAATCTTCCCCACTGAGTCGTCAACTCACCACCCCCACTGTTCCCAAGGCTGGCCGTCAGCGAGCTACGAGGCTGAGGATCCCTGTGCTGTCTCCTGATTATCAGGATGTCAGGCTTCGTGCTGCCTGCTACATCAGGGCTATGTGGCGCTGGGCACAGAACCCAGCGCTCCCTGCATGCCAGGCAAGCACTCCACCAGCTGAGCTCCAGCCCATGAGCCCCTGCCTCTCTCAACCTTTCTGTGTGCCGTGTGCCGTAACCACATTAGTCACGCCGGAATCTGGATAAAGATCCTGAACCCAGATGCCTGAATGACACATTCCTGGGTCCCATCCAGCAGGGTCAGTCTCCCAGGAGGACTCCTTGGAGACATAGGAGACAGGGCATGAGCTACAGACACACAAATGCTGTGTTGCTATGGTGTGTGTGTGTGTGTGTGTGTGTGTGTATCTGTATGTACACCTTTATGCCAGGAGAGGGTATCAGACCCCGCTATAGATGGTTGTGAGCCACCATGTGATTGCTGGGAACTGAACTCAGGACGTCTGGAAGAGCAGCCAATGCTCTTAACCACTAAGACATCTCTCCAGCATAGCTATGTTTTTAAACAGAAACATTTCCTTCTGTAGGAAGGCTCTGGAAAAATCCAGGAAGCTAGCAACAATATTCACAAGGTTTTGGGCATGGTGTTGATGACCTTTAATCCCAGCCCTCAGGAAGCAGAGACAAGTAGATCTCTATGAGTTCAAGACCAGCCTAGTCTGTAGAGTGAGTTCCAGGACAGCTAATACTACATAGTGAGATCATCTCTCACCAAAACAAAACAAATGAAAACTACCCAAACCCCAAATCTCATAGCTTTCAGGAAGATCCTGAAACTTACAAGACTCAGAAAGCCCCTGAAACAGTTGCTGGGTGCTGCTTTCATGACCCATGCTCGTGAGGGCTTTTGGTGATGTAGCTGCCTTTGACTCCTCCATGTTTCTGCATGGAGCCCCAGTAGACTTACTGGTTCAATAAACTAGGCTTGGGTGGAATCATTTCTTGAGTCTGCTGTGGATGGTCTATCTGGGGTAAAAAGATGTTTGTTCCCTACTTCCCCAGGAAACATCACGTAATACCATGTAAACAGTATCTCTGTGGGTGTGAGCCCAGAGACTCAACTATAGGATTCTTCATAAACTCCCAGGCTCCAGCTATGACTCCTGGCCCCACTCCTGGCACAGAACAGGACAGAGATATGGCAAGAAATGGACTGTGATGCTATGCATGCCCCCAAAGGACCGGTAGAGGAAGCACGCTTGTCCACTCCACACAAATGCTTAAAAGGGACCAGTAATTTGCCTAGTATCTCCAGACCAGGAGCAACCAGGCCGAGATTCAGACAAAGCCAGGTGGAGAGGAGTGATGAACTGAACACCTGTAGTCCCAGCTTCTTGGGAGGCTGAAGCAGAAAAACCTTCAACTGTAGGCTAGCCTGGGCTACATAATGAGCTCAAATTAAAAACAGACAAATAAAAACCCACAAATAGACAAAAAGAGGCCTGAAGACAGAAGAAAGCTTGGCAAAGTGCCTCTCTAGCACCCAGAAAGCTCTGGGTTCTAGCCTCGGCACTGAACAAAATAAGTGCTGGAGGATCAGGAGTTCAAGGTGATCCTTGATGCTACCAGTTTGAGATATATTAGATGGTTCCTCAAAGAGGAAGGGAGGGGGAGGGAGAGAGGAGGAGAAAGGGGGAGGGGGAGAGAGAGAGAGAGAGAAATAAAATAAACCTATCAACCAAATAAAGAAGAGTCAAACTTGGTGGACTTAAAAAAACTCTAGGCCAGCAGGGCAGAGGTGGCGCATGCCTTTACTCCCAGCACTTGGGAGGTGGAGACAGGTGGATTTCTATTGAGTTCAAGGCCAGCCTGGTCTACAGAGCAAGCTCCAGGATAGCCAAGGCTACAAAAGGAGAAACCCTGTCTCAAAAGCAAAACAAAAACAAAAACAAAGCTGATGGGGAAGTCCTGTGCATATGTCAATAAAGCACTGTTGGCCAATAGGGAAGCAAGATAGGTGGGACTAGGAGTTGAGGAGGATTCTGGGAAAGAGAGACACTGGGGAGACAATGTAGCCTGCCAGAGAAGTAAGATGTCCGCACCCTTTTCTCTGGGAGGAGAAATACTTAGATTAACAATTATGGGCTAGCCAGTAAGAAACAAGCAAACGGCCAACAGCTCTATAATTAATATAGCCTCCTGTGTGTTATTTGGGGACTGCAACTGTGGCAGAGCCCAAGTGGCTGGCACAGACGAAAACTACATGTTACACAAAGCAAACAAACAACAAACAAAAAAAGACCAACAGGAAGCAACAATGAGTCCCCAAAAAGATCAGGTTGGGAGTATTGTCAGAGAATAAGAGGGCGAGGAGGCTGGCTCAGCCTCCAGAAAAGGTGGCTTGGGAGGAGGGGATGTTGAGTGAGTGAAGTCTATCAGAATCCCATCTGCCTAGCTCAGTCGCCATGGTGACCACAGCCTGGGGCAAGCCCATTGGTCCTGCTGACTGAGAAGGACCTGTGGTCAGCCAGCTAGTCATGGAGAGAGAGAGAGAGAGAGAGAGAGAGACAGAGACAGAGACAGAGAGAGAGACAGAGAGACAGAGAGAGACAGAGACAGAGAGAGACAGAGACAGAGAGAGACAGAGACAGAGAGAGACAGAGACAGAGAGAGAGAAGCCAGGGGAGGACTAATCTCTGGGTCCTGGGCTTCTTTGACTACTTGTTGCTCAGAAGGTGGTGCTTTTATTTTTCTCCCTGTCTCTCCAGGATTAAGATTCCCAAGCCCTGACCCTGCCCAGACCTTGCCTTGGCTCAGTTCTGGAATTCTTTTCTATGTATACATGTGTACACTGACATGGAGGTCAGTGGTCTAGTTGGTGTCTTTCTTACTTGCTCACCCCTTTTTAAAAAGTTATTATTGTGTGTCTGCGTATGTATACATGCAGGCCCGTGTACCATGGCACTCTGGTGGCGGCCAGAGAACCACCTGTGGGCACCGGTCTTCTCTTCCTACCG